CAGGCGTTGAGGATGTAGGGATGGAGGCTTCGCAGGCCCCTGGGCACGAAGCCCCTTGATTTCGTGCTTAGGGCCCCTGAAACCCTAAACCCTGAAACCCTGAAACCCTGAAACCCTGAAACCCTGAAACCCTGAAACCCTGGAAACCCGAAACCCTATGCCCTTCATGTGCCCCTAAACCCTTAACCCTTAACCCTAAACCCTAAACCCTAAACCCTAAACCCTAAACCCTAAACCCTAAACCCTAAACCCTAAACCCTAACCTAAACCCTAAACCCTAAACCCTAAACCCTAAACCCTAAACCCTAAACCCTAAACCCTAAACCCTAAACCCTAAACCCTAAACCCTAAACCCTAAACCCTAAACCCTAAGCACACAGCAGCGCAGGATCCCGGCTTCCTGCGCCCCGGGAGCGGCTGTTGCAGGGGTTTTGGGGTTTGGGGATTGCCTTGTTTTTGGCGTATATATTTCTAGATATGTATACAGAGATATACATATACATATATATATATATGGTCACCCCCCCTCCCCCTCGACAGACCCCGGAATTGTATTTCCGATCTGTCCAGGAAGCGGGGGGGGGGGGGGGGGAAGAGCACCACTCCAAAATTCCTCGAGTTTCCAAAAACCCAAAAACCCAAAAAACCCAACCCAAGTTTCGGATTTTTGGAAACTCGAGGAATTTGCTCAAATCCAAAAAAACCAAAATTCCTCGAGTTTCCAAAATCCAAAAATCCAAAAATCCCAACCCAAGTTTCGGATTTTTGGAAACTCGAGGAATTTGCTCAAAATCCAAAAAAACCCAAAATTCCTCGAGTTTCCAAAATTCCAAAAACCCAAAAACCCCAACCCCAGTTTCGGATTTTTGGAAACTCGAGGAATTTGCTCAAAATCCAAAAAACCCAAAATTCCCCGAGTTTCCAAAAATCCAAAAATCCCAACCCCAGTTTCGGATTTTTGGAAACTCGAGGAATTTGCTCAAAATCCAAAAAAATCCAAAATTCCTCGAGTTTCCAAAAATCCGAAACTGGGGTTGGGGTTTTTGGATTTTTGGATTTTTGGAAACTCGAGGAATTTTGGGTTTTTGGATTTTGAGCAAATTCCTCGAGTTTCCAAAAATCCGAAACTTGGGTTGGGATTTTTGGATTTTTGGATTTTGGAAACTCGAGGAATTTTGGGTTTTTTTTGGATTTGAGCAAATTCCTCGAGTTTCCAAAAATCCGAAACTGGGGTTGGGATTTTTGGATTTTTGGAAGTTTGGAAACTCGAGGAATTTTGGGTTTTTTTGGATTTTGAGCAAATTCCTCGAGTTTCCAAAAATCCGAAACTTGGGTTGGGATTTTTTGATTTTTGGATTTTTGGAAACTCAGGTTTTGGTGAGATTCTTTTAGGGGTTCTACACTCATGAGAAATATGAAATTGGAAACTCGAGCGGGAGCCTCAAAATAAAAAAATCGAGCAAATTCCTCGAGTTTCCAAAATCCCAAACCTTGGGGTGGATTTTTTGGATTTTTGGAATTTTGGAAACTCGAGGAATTTGCTCGATTTTTGGATTTTGAGGCTCCCGCTCGAGTTTCCAAAAATCCAAACCTTTGGGGTGGATGTTTGGATGTTTGGATTTTTAGAAACTGGATTTTTGATAAGAGTTTTTCAGGGGTTCTTATATGATTCCTTATTATGTTTTAGGCTGCCTATTACATTTAATAATACTCCTGTTCACTTTAACGGGAGTCCTTATTTAATTAACAAGGCTCCTAATCATTTTACTAGCATTCTAAGTGATTTTCAATGGCAATGGGATTCCTGTATTTGTTTAATGGGGTTCGTATTAGATTTTAAAGGATGCCTGTTAAAGGACTTTATTGGGTTGAATATTGATTCCTATTCATTTTAATCAAATGCCAAATAATTGGAATACGATTCTGAGTAATTGTAATAACATTCTTCTTCCTAGTTAGTTTTAATACAAGTCTTAGAAATTTAAAAAGCTTCATAACAAATTTTATACATATTCCTATTAATTTCAATAGGCTTCTTATTCATTTTCATAAGATGTCTTGCAATTTCTAATTGGGTTCCTTTTGCTTTGACAAGCTTCCTATTCATTTAAAAAGGCTTCTGATTAATTGGAATAGGCTTCGTATTCATTTTAACAGGGTTTCTCATTCATGTTGACAGGATTCCTAATAATGTTCATAGGATTCCTACTAGATTCCACAGTGCTCCGATTATGTTTTTAAATCCTGTTCCCTATTCATTTCAATTGGACTCGAAGTAATGTTATTGTAACTCTCATTTGTTTTTTTAGCAATCCTGTTAATTAAATGTTTTAATAGTGTTTATTATAATTCTAACAGTACGACTCTTAGTGTTTTAAGTTTTGAAGGGTCCACATTACTTTTTTTATAGAATTTTATTGGCTCCTCTTAATCCTTTAATAGGATTCATCTTCATGTTACACGGATTCCTGTTACTCTTAAAAAGAATTCATAGATTCTTTTGTAGGGTTCCTATTAATTTTAATAGCATTCCTATGAATTCAAAAGGGTTCCTATTCATTTGAATGGCCTTCCTATGGTTCCTCTGAATTTAGGACGCCAAGAAATTTTAAGAGGAGCTTCTACGTATTTCAACCAGGTTCTTATTAATTGTACTAGGATTCTTACTAAGTTTTCAAAAAGACTCGTCTTAATTTCAACAGGGTTCTCATTCATTTTAATGGGGTTCCTATTGATTTAAATAGGATTCCTATTGAACTCATACGAAGCCTATGAATCCTAATAAACTTAATAGGAACCCAAGTAAAACTAAGAGCAACCTTATTAAAATTAAGAGCAATCCACGATGTCGAGCAAATTGTTCAGGTCCTTACAGCATGCGTCCTTCTCACATCTGTCTGCATCTTTCATTGCGAACACAAAGCCGTACTAATCGAAAAAAATGTGCTCTATTGTGTGTTAACGTGTCTGGCTACTGTGTGCAGCTATGCTGTCCGTCGCGCCCTCAGCGTTTTTTTCGCTTCCGGGGTCTGTCGAGGGGGGGGGGTGAGCATATATATATATATATATATATATACTTATATATATATGTATACACACATATGTATAATTTGCTTTAAAGTAGTTTTGTCAGCTTTTTCTGTCAAAGGCTTGACAAAGACTAAGATGAAGGTTTCGGGAGTTTGGTATTCTTTCCGGCCCCGGCCTGGCAACCACTCGACTTGCGGAACAGGGAGTTGTTTAGTGTCGGGTTTTTGGGGTGTAAGGTTTACGGCCTTCCTACTCACTTCCAGCACTCCCCATCATGCGAACCCCCCGCCACCCCCACCCAACCCCCTGAACTGTTCCCATGAAGATTTGATTGGAGATAGCGTACTTGTATTCCGTTTTCTGCCTTAGATCTGGACGTCCGAACGAATCCCCAAACCCTAAACCCTAAACCCCAAACCCCAAACCCCAAACCCTAAACCCTAAACCGCTCCTAAACCCAGGCGCTGCGTGGTGCTCCGAAGCTCAGCCGCCAAGGGCTCCTGGCTCGCGGCGGCCACGGCCGCCCCAGACGAGGCGGCCTGGTTTCGGATCGTTCTCCCTGGGCCTGGCCTTTTTTTGTTCGTGTGAATTCGGGTTCTGTGGGTTGAGGGTTAGGGTTTAGGGTTTGGGGTTTAGGGTTTAGGGCTCAGGGTTTAGGGTATTTGGGGCTTAGATTTAGGGTTTAGGGTTTAGTGGAGTTGGAGTTTAGGGGATTTGGGGTTTAGCTTCGGGGTTCAGGGGGAGCCCATCGCCCCCCCCCCCCCATGCCCCTCACTTCCTTTAAGGAGGTCCCCGTTAAGCCATTGAGCAACAACGGCGCCCGTGTGTTCACGGAAGGCTCCATCGATCTGCTTGGGGTTTTAGGGTCAAGGATTAGGGTTTAAGTTTAGGGTTTGGGCATGTTGTTGGGGGTACAAGAGGCTTCTAAAGGCCGGGCAGGCATTGAGAGCCACAGAAGTTTGGTGTGGGTTTCCTGAAGGATAAACGTCGCCTCCTCCACCCCCCCCCCCCAATGTTCAAGACTCTCCTCCTCACCACCATATGAAAGGCCCCCAATATACGGTAGCATGCCCTAGTAGACTATGTTCAAAAGTGCGGGGTTCACCAAACCATCTGGGCATACCCCTCAAAGAAGCTAAGGGGGGTGTGCTAAAATCCTTCCTTATCTTCTCCTTTTGCAGGTTAAGGGGGTATGGGCTTTGGGTATGTTGAGCTATTCTTAGAATCGGGCTTAGGGCTTCGGGGAACCGAAGCCCCTGTGCCTTTCAGGTTGGGGAGTTTGAGGCGGCTCGTAGGTTTCGGGTTTAGGGTTTAGAGTTTGGGGTTTAGGGTTTAGGGTTTTCGGGCCTCGTGCCGAAGAGCCCTCTTGACAGGAGCTTCCGGAGGATCTGTCTGCCTTCAAGAACCAGCCCGAGGACGGCGATGCCGGCTCCGTGCCTAGGGGTTAGCACTCGGCCCGAAACCCTGCACCGTCAACCCCAATCCCTACACCCTAAATCTGAAACCCTAAACCCTAAACCATAAACCCAACCCTAAACCCCAAACCCCTGAACCCCCCAAGAGGCCACCAGCAGTGACCCGCAGGATGTGGAGTTCAGCTTCAACCCGGTCAAGGCCTGCAACGACGTCATGAAGGCCCAGCCCTGACAAAAAGGTTGGGTTTAGGGCGTTTGGGTTTAGGGTTCAGGGTTCAGGGTTTAGGGTTGAGGGTTGAGGGTTTAGGGTCAAGGGTTTAGGGTTCAGGGTTTCAGGGTTCAGGGTTTCAGGGTTGATGGGTTTTGGGGCCCGGTCTAGGTTTCAGGGTTCAGTTCGTTCAGCCTTCAGGGTCCCTAAACCCTACACCCTACACCCTAAACCCTAAACCCTAAACCCTAAACCCTAAACCCTAAACCCTAAACCCTAAACCCTAAACCCTAAACCCCAAACCCTTTCCCCAACCTCAAAAACCCTTCTTCCCCCCTTGGAAAGGCATGGGCTGCTGGAACCTCGCTGTTGCCGGCCATGCGCCCCTCCGTCTACATCCCCCTGGAGGCCGACCTTGGAGGGCTCAGGGTCTGTAGGGGTTTAGGGTTTAGGGTTTAGGGTTTAGGGCTTAGGGTTTAGGGTTTAGGGTTCAGGGTTTCGAGGGTTTCTAGGGTTTCGAGGGTTTCGAGGGTTTCTAGGGTTTCGAGGGTTTCTAGGGTTTCTAGGGTTTCTAGGGTTTCTAGGGTTTCTAGGGTTTCTAGGGTTTCTACGTTTAGGGTCTTTAGGGTCTTTAGGGTTGAGGGTTGAGGGTTTAGGGTTTAGGGCAAGTTTAGGGTTTAGGGTAATTTAAGGGTTGAGGGAATTAGAGAGTTTAGGGTTTGTAAAGGTTTATTGAGAGATTGATATGGGCTTACAAGTAAGGGTGTAGGGTTTACGAGGGTGTGGGGTTATGGGGGCTTATCATGGGTTACAAGGACGTATAAGGCTTTATCAGGGGGGGTTTATCACGCATGAGGGCAAGCAAGGTTCAAAAAGGTGCATGAGGGATATAGATGGGGCGGGGGTGTATAGGGGAGTTGAGACATATATGTAATGCTGAGAGGGGATTGTTTAGGCGTTTGGAGGTTAGGTTCGGGTTGGGGCGTGAGTCTGAGGTCGGGTTCAGTCATGAACGCCGGTTGTCCGTTTCTCAGATTTCTTCGATCGGTCAGCGTTGAAGAAGACCCTAAAACCCTGAAACCTTATCATTATATATATATATATATATACATATATATATATGTATAGGTATCTATATTATATATATATGTATCTATTTATCTATTTCTTTATGTGTATTATACTGAGGCACTAAACCCCAAACCCTAAACCCTGAAGCCCAAACCCTAAGCCCTAAACCCTAAACTCTGAACCCTAAACCCTAAACCCTGAACCCTAAGCCCTAAACCCTAAACCCCAAACCCTAAACCTAAACCCTTATTCCCAAAGGAAAAGCCATGTTGCGCATGGAAGGCCTTTCCCAAGAACGCCGCCGGGAAGATCGATCGCGGGGCGCTCCCGGATGCCTTGAAGGCTTTCGAGGAGAATAGGGTTTAGGATTTAGGGTTTAAGGTTTAGAGTCTAGGGTTTTAAGGTTTAGGGTTTAGGGTTTAGAGTTTAGGGTTTCGGGTTTAGGGTTTAGGGTTTGGGGTTTAGGGTTTGGGGTTTCGGGCTTAGGGTTTGGGGTTTTGGGCTTGGGGTTTAGAGTTTAGGGTTTGGGGTCAGGGTTTAGGGTGTTTGGGGTTTAGGGTTGGAGGCCTCCCTAAAGCCTAAAGCCCTAGACCCGAAACCCGATAAGTCTTGGAAATTGACGGTTTGAGGGCTTGCGTCCCAAACCCCAAGCCCCAAGCCCCAAACCCTAAACCCTAAATGCTGGCGGAGCTTTAGGGTTAGAGGTTTAGGGCTGAGGGTTTAGGGTTTAGGGTTCAGGGTTTGGGGTTTAGGGTTTAGGGTTCAGGGGCTCCAGGTATTGGCTTGTAGGGTTGCGGGTTCAGTCTCAGGTAACTCCCCGATAAGATGCCAGTATTTTTTGTATACAACTCCTCAACCCTCAACCCTCAACCCTCAACCCTCACCCCTCAACCCTCAACCCTCAACCCTCAACCCTCAACCCTAAACCCTAAACCCTAAACCCTAAACCCTAAACCCTAACCCCTAAACCCTGAACCCTAAACCCTAAACCCTAAACCGCCGAGTCAACCTCCATACTCCCCCAATCCTCCCTGTGCCCCGCTCTTTCAGGAGATCTCCACCACTGCGGTGGCCGAGTACGAGCCGCCTGCCACTGACGAGGAGAAGAAGATGGTCGAGATCTGGGAGAAAGTGCTGAAGGTTCAGGTGTGCGGGTTTAGGGTTTAGGGTTTAGGGTTTGGGGTTTAGGGTTTAGGGTTTAGGGTTTGGGGTTTTGGGGTTTAGGGTTTAGGGTTTACGGCTCCGGTGCGACTTTGCTGCGAAGCATCTGCCCTCCTGCAGCGCCCCAACGTAGCCCCAAATACATCGTGGATGAGGAACGAAGCCCCAACCCTATATAAACCCCGAAACCAAAAACCTTAAACCCTAAACCCTAAACCCTAAACCCTAAACCCTGAACCCTGAACCCTAAACCCTAAACCCCTAAGCCCTAAAGCCCTACTTCAAAACGACAGGTGGGCGTGCTCACGCCCTTCGTGGCCTATGGGGGCCACTCCCTGACGGCCGTGCCGCTCGGCTTTTTCCTGGGCTTAGGGTTTGGGGTTTGGATATTTTTCCCTAAGACCCTAAGCCCTAAACCCCAAACCCTAAACCCTAAACATCCCTAAACCCTTCTTGGGTTTAGGAGGATCTGGTTCCGGCCATGTTTAGTTTTGTCAGAGATCTCACCCCTCGGAAATTTTGGGGGTATGTGAGCTGCGTCATGGACAGCGAGATGTATGCATGTACGCATGTACATCTGCTCTGTTGTTTGTAGCTCTCTCTCTCTCTCTCTGTTTTTGTTTGTTTAGTTTTTTTTTTGTTTGGTTTGCTTGTAAACCCTGAAGCCTCGATCCTGACCCTTAAGCCCAATGATGGCAATGAGCCGCCGGACAACCTCATTGACCCTAAACCGTAAGCATCTCCCCCCAAAACAAACATGCACATGTTCACACACACACACACACCATACACAGACGTATTATATATGTATATACATCCTTAAACCCTAAACCCGAAACCCTAAACCCTGAGGAACGATAAATCACCATATTATATATATATATATAGATATATACACATGTTGGGAATATATATATATATATATATATATATATATATATATATATATATAAATGTGTATATATATATATATATATAAACTTTATATATCCTTGCCGCAGAACTTGGAAAGGCAGCTCTGCTCTGGTGTGAATGCTGGCTTCAACCAGAGGCGGCATGTTGGGCCTTGTTCAGGTAGGGCAAGTACTCAGGGTTTAGAGTTTATTAGGGTTGAGGGTTTAGGGTATTAGGGTTTAGGGTATAGGGTATTAGGGTTTAGGGTTTAGGGTTTAGGGCTAAGGGTTTAGAGCGTTTACAGCTTTCGGGTGTGTTCGGGAATGCAGTGCCCCGGAGTGCACCGGTGCGGACCTCAGCCCTTGAAGGTTTAGGTTCTCTGAAATAGGGCCCCCCTTCGGGGGCATCCGAGCGGACCAGATGAACCCTAAATAGGGTTTGATGGTTCCCATACCTTCATAGGGATTATGGTAGTATAGGGTGTTATCAACCCCCCCCCCCCCCCCAAAAAAAAAAAAAAAAAAAAAAGAAAAACATAGGGTTCATTTGGTCCCTACGGACCTGTTGATCCTCAAACTGGAGCCGGCAGGCCTGACTTGGTCTACCTGATGTCGGAGGACTGCACTGTGAGGGCCCTGTGCCGAAGATGCATTTAGGGTGTTTAGGGTGTTTAGGGTGTTTCGGGTGTTGAGGGTGTTGAGGGTGTTGAGGGTGTTGAGGGTGTTGAGGGGGTTTAGGGGGTTTAGGGCGTTTAGGGTTTAGGGTGTTTAGGGTTTAGGAATTAGGTTGTTTATAGGGTTTTCGGGGGTGGGGGGGGGGAGGTAGAGGGATTATGGAGGTTGTAGTGGGTATGCTCCTTGTGACTCTGACGACTTTAGAGACCTCATTCGCTATATGTTTCTCATGGAGGTTTGGTAGGCGAAAGTTCCCAGAGAATTATTCGAACTGCATTCTTTCGATGCCGTTAGACTAGACCCTAGACCCTAGACCCTAGACCCTAGACCCTAGACCCTAGACCCTAGACCCTAGACCCTAGACCCTACACCCTAAACCCTAAACCCCAAGCCCTAAACGCAGAAGGCTGGCGAAGCTCCGCAGCGAAGGCGCCCAGGCAAAAGCCGCGGACGAGGGCTGCGTGGTGCGGCTGCGCCTGGGCAAGTTTAGGGGAACTTAAGGCAGTAGGGTTTAGGGTTTAGGGTTTAAGGGTTAAGGGTTTAGGGTTTAGGGTTCAGGGTTCAGGGTTCAGGGTTTAGGGTTTAGGGTTTAGGGTTACCAGAACAAGGAAAACCTGACCCATTCATCAGCTCCTTAGCAGCCGAACCCAGTCGTTGAGGCGTTTCGCGCTTTAGGCAGGTCTCCATGTCAGACGTGGGCTTGTGGGGTAGGATGTTGAAGAGTTGGCAGCTTCATACACCGTGGCCCCTGAACCCTGTACAGACCTCAACCCCCTTCCCCGCCACCCCAATCGGAAAAGGGCCCTAGGTGAGGCAACCACAGCCCCTTGCAAAGCCGCACCAGAGGATACTTCTCAAGGGACTAAAGGAGGGACCCTTGTAACAACAGACCTTAGGGGTAATAATCCCCAAACCCTAAACCTAAACCCTAAACCCTAAACCCTAAACCCTAAACCCTAAACCCTAAACCCTAAACCCTAAACCCTAAACCCTAAACCCTAAACCCTGAAACCTAAGCCCTAAACCCTAAACCCTAAACCCTAAACCCTAAACCCTAAACCCTAAACCCTAAACCCTAAACCCTAACCCCAAACCCTAAACCCTAAACCCTAAACCCTAAACCCTAAACCCTACACCCTAAACCCTAAACCCTAAACCGTAAACCCTAGACCCTAAACCCCACCAGAAGATAGCTACGCAAAGGTCTCCCGAGGGCCGTGGGGGCCTCCCGATGCTGATCTTCTGTGCCGCCGGCACCTCCTCGGCGACCTACGGCGGGGTCGCGGAGCGCGGATGTGTGTGGGTTTAGGGTTTAGGGTTTAGGGTTTAGGGTTTAGGGTTTAGGGTTTAGGGTTTGGGGTTTAGGGTTTAGGGTTGAGGGTTTAGGGTGTGTAGAAGGGAAGGTCGCTGGTGCTAAAAGCACCCGGGCCGCTCGCTTGCGTTAGCATGTAGTCCCGCCCCAACCACCCAAACTATTCTCATTTAGGGTGTAGGGTTCACCCCCCAAACCCCCCTCAAGGGCACTCATGAACACCATAGCGCCCCGCGAACAGCGCGAACAGCGCGAACAGCGCGAACAGCGCGAACAGCGCAAACAGCGCGAACAGCGCGAACAGCGTGAACAGCGCGAACACCGCGAACAGCCGGAACACCGCGAACACCACGAACAGCACCATAGCGCCCCGCGAACAGCGCGAACAGCGCGAACAGCGCGAACAGCGTGAACAGCGTGAACAGCGGGAACACCGCGAACACCGCGAACACCACGAACAGCACCATAGCGCCCCGCGAACAGCGCGAACAGCGCGAACAGCGCGAACAGCGCGAACAGCGCGAACAGCGTGAACAGCGTGAACAGCGCGAACAGCGCGAACAGCGCGAACAGCGCGAACAGCGTGAACAGCGCGAACACCGCGAACAGCCGGAACACCGCGAACACCACGAACAGCACCATAGCGCCCCGCGAACAGCGCGAACAGCGCGAACAGCGCGAACAGCGCGAACAGCGTGAACAGCGTGAACAGCGCGAACAGCGCGAACAGCGCGAACAGCGCGAACAGCGCGAACACCGCGAACACCGCGAACAGCGTGAACAGCGTGAACAGCGTGAACAGCGCGAACAGCGCGAACAGCGCGAACAGCGCGAACAGCGCGAACAGCGCGAACAGCGTGAACAGCGCGAACACCGGGAACAGCCGGAACAGGTGCAGAGATCCTCAATCCCGTGGCAGGCTCCGGTGGGTCGGCGTCCATCCAGCAAGAGAGGGATTGCAGCGCCCCCCCCCCCCCCCCCCCGTACCGCAAAAACCACACGACGGCGCCAACGGCTCGGGGTTTTGGGGTCCTCATGAAATTAGGGCTGACGCCCTAGGTCCGGGAGGCTTTACCCTCCCTCACCGTTCTGTCGAGACGCTCGGTCGGGGACCTCGGTCGAAGCCTCGAGCGCCCATGCAAATGGACAGCGGGCTCTCGGCAGTTTAGGGTTTAAGTTTTGAGGTTTAGGGTTTAGGGTTTAGTCCCAAACCCTGAAGCCTGCTGCTCCGGAGGAGCGCGCCAGTCGGCTTCAGATCTTCGGCGTAGAGCTGCCCGGCCGCGGCCGGCGCGTTGAGGAGCGGGTTCGGGGTTAGGGTTTAGGGTTTAGGGTTCAGGGTTCAGGGTTTAGGGTTTAGGGTTTAGAGTTTAGGGTTTCGGGTTTAGGGTTTAGGGATGTCCGGTTCAGGGTTTAGGGTCCTATAAGCCCTAAGCCCCAACATTCTTGTGCATTCCGAGGCGTATTCCGAGGTGTATTGCGAGGTGTATTCCGAGGTGTATTACGAGGTGTGTTCCGAGGTGTGTTCCGAGAGGAGGTTGGGGGTTTTAGGGTTTAGTCTCTGGGTTTAGGGTTTAGGGTCACTTAGGGTTTAGGGTTTACTGGGGTAAGGGTCACTGGGGGTTCGAGGTCGAGGTTTAGGGGTTTAGGGAGGGCTCAGGCTATTGAGGGTCTAGGGTTTCGGGTTGCTGCCTCTCACCTTTCGCCCTTTCTTGCGTGCCTCAAGTACAAGTTGGGAGGTTGCAGGGGGCGGTGGTTTGAGGGGTGGCATCAACCCGAGAGACTCCAACGTCCAGCTTCTGCTTGGAGGCTCAGGGTACTTCGTAACCCAGTGAGAACTGTACTTATAGCCCAATCATCACCGGGCTTATAAGTGGGTTATAACTACACTCATAATTGGCTACTAAGTGCCCTGAACCTCCAAGTAGGGTGTTTTCCATATGGGGATAAGATGGTTGGCCGAACAGGTCAGGGCAAGTGGGAAGGCATGAGGGGAAGCTATCAAAGGAGGTGGAGTATGGTTTCCCTTTGGGCCCACCCTAAGCCTAAGCCCCCCACAAGCCCTAAACCCGAAACCCTAAACCCTAGCCCTAAACCCTAAGCCCTAAATCCTAAACCCTAAACCCTAAACCCCAAACCCTAAACCCTAAACCCTGAATCCCTTTGAACATAGAATCAACCCGAACCCGGACGTGACGCCCTCTTCGCAGCTTGTCGAGGGTGGCGCCCCGAGCCCAAACACCCTTCAGCCCTAAGTCGGGGTTTAGGGTTTAAGGGTTTAAGGGTTTAAGGGTTTAAGGGTTTAAGGGTTTAAGGGTTTAAGGGTTTAAGGGTTTAAGGGTTTAAGGGTTTAAGGGTTAAAGGGTTAAAGGGTTTAAGGGTTTAAGGGTTTAAGGGTTTAAGGGTTTAAGGCTTCAAGGGTTTAAGGGTTAAAGGGTTTAAGGGTTTAAGGGAATTAAGGGATTCAGGGTTCAAGGGTTCGAGGGTTTAAGGGATTCAGGGATTGGAGTAAGGGTTCTGGGCCTTTCTTTCGTGTCTCCCTTGCGGCAGATTGCGTGAAGTTTGAAGCGCCTCTGACGGCGAGTATGGGGTCCCTTATTTGAGGATGCCATGGTTGAATCTTGACCTCCCCCAGCCTAAGCACCCTTTGCCCAAGCTAAGGAGGTTTAGGGTTTAGGGTTTAGGGTTTAGGCTACATCTGGGCCCTGTGCGAGAAGTAGCTGAGGGTGCGGGGAATGTAGGATCAAAGCCTCCGCACAGCAGGAGCCGGCTGTGTCGGACTTTGAAGAGCTTTTCGAGGCCTCAGGGGGTTGTGCACCTTTTCGACTTCAGCTCTGCACCCTACAAACCGTACATGCTAGAGCCGGAACCCTAAACCCCAAGCCCTACAGCCCAAAGCTCCACCATTGAGGATTTAGGGCTTAGAGTTTTAGGGACCCAAAGCAAGCCACCAAAAGGCTTCTTCGGGGAGATACAGGAGTCCCACGTCCTCGATGGGGCTAAACGCGGGGTACCCTTGTTGCAGGTTCCTAGAATCAGGGTTATCGTATCCCCTAAACCCTAAACCCTAAACCCTAAACCCTAAACCCTAAACCCTAAACCCTAAACCCTAAACCCTAAACCCTAAACCCTAAACCCTAAACCCTAAACCCTAAACCCTAAACCCTAAACCCTAAACCCTAAACCCTAAACCCGACGCCCTAAACCCTAAACCCTTAACCTATCGTATCTCGGGTGTCTTGCGAAATGCCCATTTGTGGCATCGCGATGCAATCCTGCCAGGCTTTGAGGGACGACGTGATGCGCTGGGCGAGGCGCGGCGGACCTAAGCATGCTCTTTCACCCGATGCCCTAAACCCACCTAAACCCTAAGCCCCTAAACCCTAAACCCCCAAACCCTAAACCCTAAACCCTAGTCCCCAAACCCTAAACCCCAAACCCTAAACCCTAAACCCTAAAACCCTAAGCCCGAGATCCCAAACCAAAAGCCCCGAAACCCCAAAACTCCAGTGACCAGGCGACAGAAGCGATTCTTCGTTTGGGGCGACAGCCTGGGCGCCGTCCTTGCCTATGAGCTTCTTCGACATTTCATGAAGCAAGCTTTGACAGAAGACAAGTTTAGGGTCCAAGGGGTTCAGCGTGAGACGTAGATATGGGGTATTTCCCCGGGTTTTCCCCTTTCATACCCCTAAATAGTAGAATCCCAACCCCCACCCTCTATTGTCAGGAACCCCCACCCCCCCATATCTTTACCACCCTGGAACAAGAGCCCTAAACCCCAAAACCCCAAACCCCAAACCCAAAACCCTAAACCCCAAACCCCAAACCCCAAACCCTAAACCCTAAACCCTAAACCCTAAACCCTAAACCCTAAACCCTAAACCCTAAAGAGTCTGGAGCACAAAGGTTTGCCAAGCTCTGGGAGGCGCAGAGCAGGGTAGGGTCGACTGCCATGCCTGTGCTTTTCGTGTGAGGGAAGGGTTTAGGGTTTAGGGTTTAGGGTTTAGGGTTAAGGGTTAAGGGTTAAGGGTTTCGGGTTTAGGGTTTAGGGTTTCGGGTTTCGGGTTTAGGGTTTCGGGTTCGGGGTTTCGGGTTCAAGGTTTAGGGTTACACGGTTCTTTACTATGGTGCCTTGCCTTGCTTGAAGTGTCTTAAAGTTTTACAGGGTACAGAAGTGGCTTATAAGTTGTGGTCGGGAACGCTAACCCCTAACCCCTAACCCCTAAACCCTAACCCCTAACCCCTAACCCCTAAACCCTAAACCCTAAACCCTAAGCCTTAAACCCAAAACCCTAACCCCTAACCCCTAACCCCTAACCCCTAAATCCTAACCCCTAAACCCTAGACCCTAAACCCTAAACCGCGAAAGTTCCTGAACCAAGGTGCAGGGGCCTCTTTCGGGGACATGGTTTGGGCTCCAGTGAGGTGTCTCTACGCTTTTGGGGTTTTCCTCCTGGTTTAGGGTCTAGGGTTTAGGGTTTTCGTACGAGTTTCTAAACTTGCACGTCCTGTCCTTCGGGGCCTCTGGACTAAGACAATCTGGAGCCTCCAGTCGAGTTCCTTTTCGGTATCTCGACGTAGGTGTAGACCCTAAACCCTAAACCCCAAGCCCCAAACCCCAGACCGGGTGTAGACCCCAAACCCTAAACCCCAAGCCCTAAACCCCAAACCCTAAACCCGAAACCCTAACCCCTAACCCCAAAACCCTAAAGCCGAAACCCTAAACCCCAAGCCCTAAACCCAAAACCCTAAACCCTAACCCCTAACCCCTAACCCCTAACCCCTAAACCCTACACCCTAAACCCTAAACCCTAAACCTAAACCCCAAAAGCGCCCGTCAAATCGAATGCGAAGGCCGACCCAGCGACCAGCCTACTGGGCCTCTATGCTTCGGGTAACGCTGGCCCTCCGGAGGCGTGCTCTGTTAGGGTTTAGGGTTTAGGGGTTTAGGGTTTAGGGTTTAGGGTTTTAGGGTTCAGGGTTTAGGGTTTAGGGTTTAGGGTTTGGGGTTTGGGGTTCAGGGCTTGGGGTTTAGGGTTTAAGGCTTGGGGTTTAGGGTTTAGGGCTTTAGGGCTTAGGGTTCAGGGTTTAGGAACTTCGAGTGGGGCAAGAGGGAGTTTCAGGGCTTTGCAGGGGTTTTGGGATTCTAGGGGTTTAAGCTTTTAGGGCTTTGGGGCTTACAGGCGTTCTGGGTTCAAGGGGGTTTGGGGTTGAGTTTTCGTTTTTGTTTTCTTCGGTTTTTAGGCGGCAGCGGTGTCTCTCTGTCTCTCTCTGTCTCTCTCTGTCTCTCTCTGTCTCTCTCTGTCTCTCTCTGTCTCTCTCTGTCTCTCTCTGTCTCTCTCTGTCTCTCTCTGTCTCTCTCTGTCTCTCTCTGTGTGTGTGTGTGTTTTTGGGCTTAGGTGTGGGATTTCAGGGCTTGGGCCTGGCAGGTGCGCTTCATATAGTATAGGGGTCGGAGCAACAACAAAAGCATTCCCTTATGGTCCCTACATAAGTAGACTATAATCACCCCCCAAACCCTATTCTAATGATTGAGGCCCCTAAAGTATGCTGAAGCAGCACAACTGGTCCTAAGGCGTTTTCGTCCTTGGTAGGGAATGAGGGAATGACATGCCCGAATTTCCTCTGTAGACCTCTCTAAAGGATTCTGAACTCCAAATTCAATTAAGAATCCTCTGAGAAAAAAAGTCTAGACTGCCAGAACAGGCAGGGCCGGTCATTTGCTTGGTCTGAATGGGCATTTGCCCTCAAGTCCACGAGGGTTTAGGGTTTAGGGTTTAGGGTTTAGGGTTTAGGGTTTAAGAGTAGGGTGGAGGTTTGAGGGTTACGTGCAGCTTTGGCTCGAAAGGTGATCTAAGTTCCAGGTCCTTTTCCGGCGCCTTAAACGAGAAAGAGTGCGTGGAGTCAGTTTATCAAGACACATCCCTAAATCCCAAGCCTGTAAACTCAGGCTATATCCCAAGACTGTTCCCCCAAGCCCAAAACCAAACTCTAAACCCTAAACCCTAAACCCTAAACCCTAAAACCCTAAACCCTAAACCCTAAACCATACAACCCTAAACCCTGAACCCTGCATCCCAGACCTTCCTAAACCCCTGTGAGCCCTAACTTGCCGGAGGCGAGCCGCGAGCGTGGCATGGGTGAGGCAGCCATGAAGCACCTGGGCTACGAGGGCTCCTGTCGGGACATGACCGAAGAGGCGGGTTTTGGGGGTTTAGGGTTTAGGGTTTAGGGTTCAGGGTTTTGGGTTTAGGGTTTAGGGTTTAGGGTGTTGGGTGTAGGGTAAGGGTTTAAGGTTTAGGGTTTTGGGGGGAGGGCTTGGGGTTCGCGTTAGGCTTTTGGGTCTTGGGTTTTGGGACCTTCAGCCCTGGACCTAAACCAGGCTGTTTGGGGATGAATGGTTTTAGGGGTTCTAGACCCGAACCCTGAACCCTAAACCCGATAAGCCCTAAGCCCTGTAAGTCCTATAAGCCCTATAAGCCCTATAAGCCCTATAAGCCCTATAAGCCCTAAACCCTAAACCCTAAACCTTAAGGGCTTCGGGTTGAGACCGCCCCACGCCAGGACTGGAAGAATTTCCTGCTGGCCTCGGCGGGCACGGGCCGGGCGGAGTTGGAGGAGCTGCTGCAGAGGCCCCGAAAGAAGTGTTTAGGGTTTAGGGTTTGGGGTTTAGGGTTTAGGGTTTAGGGTTTAGGGTTCAGGGTTTAGGGTTTGGGGTTTTGGGGTGTGGGGTTTAGGGTTTCAAGGTTTAGGGTTTAGGGGTTTTAACCCTAAGTCTTCAAGCCGAAGTTCCCCTCAACAAACCCCAGGCGAACAAGAAGCATGGTGGTTGTTTAGACCACCTGTCCCCAAAGTAAGCATGAGCTAGGTAACCTTTGCAGTAAGGATTCGCTGTTTTTAGGGCTCTTATCCCATGGTTAGGGTTTGAGGGCCAAGAGGGTTTCGTTAAGGACGCAAGGACCAAGCACGGGGGAGCACAAGAAAAGGATCATGAAGGATCCACAGTATGGTTGGCCATGATGGGGTTCTCTTCGAGCTGCTGTCATCGTATCTCCTTGTCACCCTGAGAGCTCCTTCGAAAACACCGGATGAAGAGCTAAAGGCTCTTCAGCCGCCGGAGCAACCCCAAAAAACACAACCTCCCCAACAAAACCCAAACCATCCTAACACAAACTTTTAAAGCCCCCCCCTCCCTCCCCCTAAGCCCTAAACCTTAGAACCTGAAAACCCTAAACCCCGAAACCTAAACCCTAAACCCTAAACCCCAAACCCCAAACCCCAAACCCTAAGGCCCTAAACCCCAAACCCCAAACCCCAAACCCCAAACCCCAACCCCCAAACCCCAAACCCCAAACCCAAAACCCCAAACCCTAAACCCTAAACCCTAAGCCCTAAACCCTAAACCCTAAACCCTAAAGACCCCGAACCCCACCGGGAAGACCAGGCCTGAGCTGGTGGAGTGCCCAAGCTCTGACCAAGGTTTGGGGTTCTGGGGTTTAAGGTTTAGGGTTTAGGGTTTAGGGTTTAGGGTTTAGGGTTTAGGGTTCAGTACCGGGTTTAGGGTTTAGGGCTTGGGGCGTTTTGGGGTTTAGGGTTTGGGGTTTTTGTGGTTTTGGTTTAGGGCTTAGGGCTTGGGGCTTAGGGCTTAGATCTTCAGGGTTAGAGGGTGCCAAGTTTCTCAGGCTTGCGGTTCAACGTCATCTTCCGCTAGCGTTGAAGACCCTGAGCCCTAAACGTTCTAAATACCTGACAAATGTGTGCCAGAGCCCCAACAGTGCTAACACCCGGCTCATGATGAAGCTCTGAAGCCCAAAATACCCCAAGACCCCCTAAGAGCCGCGAATGAAAGCCCTAAGCCCCAGACCCCAAAAAAAACCACCCCCGCGAAGTGTGGACTTGGGTTGGGAAAAGAGTTTAGGGTTTAGGGTTTAGGGTTTTGGGTTTTGGGTTTAGGGTTTAGGGTTTAGGGTTTCGGGGGGGGGGAGGGACTCTAGAGAAACCAAAAGACTGGCGGGTTATACCGGGATTGGACATCCCCGCACCCCAAACCCAAACCCGAAACCCCCAAGGGAGCCTTCCAACCAAAACCCTAACCAACCCTAAGCCCTAAACCCTAAACCCTAAACCCTAAACCCAAACCCTAAACCCTAAACCCTAAACCCTAAACCCTAAACCCTAAACCCTAAACCCTAAACCCTAAGCCCTAAACCCTAAACCCTAAACCCTAAACCCTAAACCCTAAACCCTAAACCCTAAACCCTAAACCCTAAACCCTGAAATTTCTGCACCCCCTAAAGCCCCTCAAGCTCCCCAAGTCCCTCAAGACCCTCGTCACGCTCAGGAGCATCGTGACCCCAGTCAGAGCCGACTGTTTGGCCTACGAGGTGTCGGGGGCAGTGCTTTGAGGGCCCTTAGCGGCCCTAAAAATGCATCAACAGCCCTGAAACCCTTCAAAAACCCCAAAAGCCTGAAAGGGCTTAAAGCAACGTACCCAAGCAAATCCCGGAATGCCCTAAACCCTAAAACCCTAACACCCTAAAACCCTAAAACCCCAAAACCCTAAAACCCTAAAACCCTAAAACCCTAAAACCCTAAAACCCTAAAACCCTAAAACCCTAAACCCTAAAACCCTAAAACCCGAAAACCCTAAATCCCGGAAAGCCCCACAAAATCCTGACCCCGGAGTCCTACCGCCTCGCGAAAGTGGAGCGCATCCACTCGCCGATCATCACCCTGCCCTTGGTCTCTCTTGGTGGGGGTGACCCTAAACTAACCGCCTACTCGCACAGAATCTCAGGCGAGGCGGCCGGGACGTCATCACCTCGCCGCAGGTGGGGTCGATGGGTTTAGCCTTTCTGGTATAAGAACAATATTCGAATACAACTTTCATATATAGTATAGTGTGGTAGTGTACCAATGTAAGCAGATAGGTACATAGGAGTATAATGATATATGATACAGTACGGTACTATGCCAATATAAACAGATAGGTGCACAGAAATTTAATGATATGATGGGTGCTCCGGGCTTTCGGGGGTTTTGGAAATTGGAGCTTGGAGCTTCAAGAAGCCCATGGCCCGCACAACCCACGAAGGCCCGAAGCCTCAACCCCGAAACCCCACATTGCTTAGTTAGCCTTAAAAGCCTACACCGTAAACCCTGAACGTTTAGGGTTTAGGGTGTAGGGTTTAGGGTTTGTTTAGGCCTGAACCCCAAAGCCCAAACCCTTGTACTTAGCCTTACAGCATGCGCCCCAAAAACATGCGAAGCCCACACTGCAAACCCCACTTCGACCCAGAACCCCCAGCGGAACTCGACTCGACATGACCCTGTGCTTCCCGATCATCAGCCCTAAGCCCTAAACCCTAAAACTCCGCAACCCTAAACCCTAAACCCTAAACCCGAAACCCTAAACCGATTGAAATCCTACAACCTGACGTTTCGGGTAGAAGCCGACATGAAGAGTTGAGGGTTTCGGACCCGAAGCCCTGAACCCTAAACCCTCAACCCTCAACCCAAAACCCCAAACCCCCAAGCCCTAAAGCCTAAAGCAGAAAGCCTAAAGCCTAAACCCAAAACCCTAAACCCTAAACCCTAAACCCTAAACCCTAAACCCTAAACCCTAAACCCTAAACCCTAAACCCTAAACCCTAAACCCTAAACCCTTAACCCTACCAAAAAAGACCTTGAAGGCCATGAGGACCTGGCAGGAGGTCGCGGGAAGCCGCTACGAGCACAAGGACGGCGACTGCGAAGCTGCAACGGGCTTGGGGCTTGGGGCTTGGGTGTTTAGGGTACCCAAGATCTTGCTAGTTCTGAACCATGAGCTACGTAACCCTAAACCCCAAACCCTAAACCCTAAACCCCGCTTTAGAGTGCTGTGGGGTTTAGGGTTTCGGGTTAGTTTAGGGTTTAGGGTTTAGGGGTCTTGTGGGCTAAAGTTAACAATAAGACTCACCGGAGCCCTCTGAATAATCTCAACAAACCGCACGCCCTTTGGGTTTTCCATTCGTTCTCGTTGGGTGGGTTGCGGGCTTTGTGGCTGTCGGGTTCGGTTTGAGGCCTGGGGTTCATAGGGCTTTAGGGTTTAGGGTTTAGGGTTTAGTGAGGCTAGAGGCCTGGGGTTCATAATTAGGGCTTTAGGTTGTTCACTGGCATTGTTTTTTGCATAAACTTTGGGGTACGCAGGGTTTTTCCTGGACCCTAAACCCCTCAAACCCGTCAACCCCTAAACCCCTAAACCCCTAAACCCCTAAACCCCTAAACCCCTAAACCCCTAAACCCCCAAACCCCCAAACCCCCAAACCCCCAAACCCTAAAGCCTAAAGCCCAAACCCCAAACCCCAAACCCCAAACCCCAAACCCCAAACCCCAAACCCCAAACCCCAAACCCCAAACCCCAAACCCCAAACCCAAAACCCCAAACCCCAAACCCCAAACCCTCAACCCTAAACCCTAAACTCTAAGCAGGGGCCACGACTTCGAAGGAGTTCGGGCAGTTTGGCCACATGCTCGCGCGGGAGTGCCCTGCGCTGCTGGCGGAGCTCTTCGAGCAGCACCTTGGACAGTTTTCGGTTTCGGGTTTACGGCCCCAGACCCTTTTTGCGGCTGGGCACGATGTAGCCCAAGCCGGCTTTGCCTTTGATAGGCGTTAGGCTTTCTAGCGTTTTGGGGGTTGGGGTTTAGTTGCAGGGGCCTTCTTGAAAATTTGACGGGCAACTTCCAACCCTTAGCCCTAAACCCTAAACCCTAAACCCCAAACCCTAAACCCTAAACTCTAAACCCTAAGCTCTAAACCCTAAACCCTAAACCCTAAGCCCCCCAAACCCTAAACCCTAAGCCCTAAACCCTAGTCTCTTGAGGTACTCGCTTCCGGACTTCACACACGAGCTCCGCCACTTCGAGACCTTCCGCACGGCCTACAGGTTTGGGTTTCGGGGGGCGGGGGGCTTGGGGCTTGGGGCTAGGGTTTAGGGTTTAGGGTTTAGGGTTTAGGGTTTAGGGTTTAGGGTTTAGGGTGTAGGAGGGCTTTGGGGCCTTTGGGGCCTTTGCTTGCTGGCTGTTTCTGTTGCGTTCTTTTGCTTTTGTTTGGGGGGGCGGATGGCTTTTTGCTCTTTCCGGAGGGGGTTGGGGAAATCGGGCGCCGGGTTTCTTAGCCGAAATGGCCCTTAACCTCGGGGGCGGTAAACATCACTCGGGGGAGGGGATGACTTGCAGCCAGAAAAACCTACAAACCCTTAACCCCAAACCCCCTGACCCCATGCCTCTGAGGTGTTTCGCTTTGAGTCGGGCTCCTGCCACGCATGCAGTCTAGCAACCCGACTCCTCAGTGGAACCGCGGATGGGGTCGGTAGGGTAGTTATAGGGTAACTGGGGAGATTCGGGTAACGAGGGCAGCTAGGGTAATTCGGGCAACTAGGGTAAGTAGGGAAATTTAGAGTAATTAGGGTAGTTAGGGTAGTTAGGGTAATCAGGGTAATTGGGGTAATAAGAGTAACTAGGGTAAGTAGGGTAATTAGGGTAACTAAGGCAATTGGTAATTAGAGTCATTAGGGTAATTGGAGTAATTAGGGTTGTTAGGATAGTTAGGCTAAAACCCTTGAACTCTTCAAGGCCGAACACCCCCCAAACCCTCCCACAAGAAGGTTGAAGTCTAAGAGCCTGCACTCCTGAACCCGGAACCCCCAAGCAACCCTAAACCCTCAACCCTAGACCCTAGACCCTAGACCCTAGACCCTAGAGTCTAGAGTCTAGACCCTAAACCCTAAACCCTAAAACCCTGAAGCCTGAAGCCCCAAAGCCCTCTGCAAGCCCGGCAGCAGCTTTCGTGCTTAAGGTTTCGGGCTTAAGGCCATACGGCTTTGGGGTGGTTTTTAGGGGTTGCATTTCGGGTGCAAGGTAGTAAGCTCTAAGCCCGTAAACCCTACGCCCTAAGCCCTAAACCCTAAATCCTAAACCCTAAACCCCCCCCCCCCAAACCCTAAATGGGTTCTATACGGCCTCTTTTTCGCAGGCTGATGCGCAGCCGGGCGCAGCAGCATGGCTCCTCCCAGAAGGCTCCCTCCCCGGGCCCATTCCTTGTTTAGTTAATTGCGCTTAGGTCCCCGTTTAGGGTTTTAGGGTTTAGGGTTTAGGGTTTGGGGTTTGGGGTTTGGGGTTTAGGGTTTAGGGTCCCCTTTACAGCTAGGGTTTGCCCAATACAATTAAATCATGAACTCGGAGCCCTAAGCAGATCTAAGACCCGCGATCTCGTTCGTAGGAAGTCCCGAGACCACGCCCCAAAGCCTTTGGTCAGAATCCGGGGGGCGGGTTTAGGGGTTAGGGTTTAGGGTTTAGGGTTTAGGGTCTGCGAGCTTTAGGGGGTTTAGCGGGTTTAGCCCTAAACCTGTAGCCCTTAACAAGCCCTGGAGCCCCAAAGCCTCCAATCCCTGAGACCCTATAACCCCAAACCTTAAACCCTTAACCCCACCAAAGCCCAACAACCCCCGAGAATGAGCCTTGCAACCTCCCCCCCCCCTCCCCCGAACGACCAGGAATATCCTTCGAAGGGTTCAAAGGCGCCACGCAGTAGCCAAGCCGGTGCGATGCGGCAAAGCCCTCAGCCCCAAGCCCTAAACCAACCCGGAAAACCCTAAAACCCCGAAGAGGGCGCAAAGGGCCAAGCTGTAGCCTAAACCCTAAACCCGCCCGCCACCCCTCTCACCTCTCTTAGGGTAGCCGGTCGCGGTCGAGCGCTCAGCGAGACCAGGGCAGGCTCTGCTGGGCTGCAGAGTCTTCCAGCCACACGCTTTGTCACTATAGTTATTGTGATACCCTAAACCCCGCGACTCCTGTCCGCCGGCTCGGACCCCAACTCCAGGCCGTTGGCCTGACCGTATGAGGCCCCAGCGGAGAAGGCTACAGAATCAATGAAAATCGATGAAAGGGCCCCTCGGGCACTTGAGGCCAGTTTTGTTTCCAGCCCAACCCTTGAGGGGTGGTTTCTTCTGCCTTGTAGCCTTGAGATACCAGGCCTTTGAAAAGAACTACATAATTCGGAGGGGTATCCTGGGCCTTCTGGCCCAGTGTCCCCCGTGTTCTATGTCATGTGACTCCGAAGTGCTCCAAGGATTTGAAGTGCCCAAGTCTCCCAAGTGTCCCAAGTGGCTCAAGTGTCCCCTAAGCACGTGAATTTTGAGTGGCTCTGGATGGGTTTGGGCCCCGGCTGGGCTCGCCGTGAGCAGTGCTTGGGTGGTCTTGGGGTGGGCATGCCTTCACACTACTGTGCTGCGTTCAGCTGACCAGTGCTACACCCTCAACCCTAAACCTTAAACCTCAAACCCCAAACCCCAAACCCCGAACCCCAAACCCCAACCTCAAACCCCAAACCCTGAACCGCCAGCCCTAAACCCTAAACCCTAAACCAGGCCAGGGACATCCGTAAGAGCATGCGCGTCTGCAGCCCAACCATGGGGGCCGCCAGGGCAGCTCGGGCTGATATTTTGGACCTCAGTGTAGAGTGTTAGGGTAGTTGAGGGTTTAGGTTTAGGGTTTAGGGTTTAGGGTATTACAGGGTTTGAGAGTATCAGGGTTTCTAGGGTTGTAAGGTGATAGGGTTATAGAGTTTTAAGGTAGTAGAAGTTTTGGCTGTGGTTTAGGGTTTGGGGTTCAGGTTCAGGGATTGCGGCTATTCTAGGGTATTAGGGTCTAGGGTTGTTTGGTTACGGTTGGGGGTTTGGGGTTTGGGTCTAGAGAGTTTTAGGGTATTTTAGGGTATCAAGATTCTTATTCAGTTCAGGGTTGGGGTTTAGGTTTAGGGTGACCGGTTTGGGGGTTTGAGGTTTCGGGTCCCCCCGCCCCGTAAACCCTAAACCCTAAACCCTAAACCCTAAACCCTAAACCCTAAACCCTAAACCCTAAACCCTAAACCCTAAACCCTGAACCCCAAACCCTAAACCCTAAACCCTGAACCCCAAACCCCAAACCCAAAACCCCAAACCCCAAACCTCAAACCCCAAACCCCAAACCCTAAACCCTAAACCCTAAACACCCTACCACCCTACACCCTAAACACCCTACACCCTGCACCCTAAACCCTAAAAGCCCTTTGCAGGTGCCCGTGGACTTTGAGTTGAATGTGTCGGACTTGGACTTCAACTTGGACCTATTGGACGACATCACCCCCCCGACAAAGGAGGCGGGCCACCAGTTCAGGGCTTAGGGAATTTTAAGGGTTTTTGGGGTTGCTTTTTGTGAAGGTTAAGCGGGGCTTTTGAGGTTTTTTAGGGTTTTCGGTGTTCGTTTGGGTTTTCTTTTCAGGGGGTTTTGGTGGTTTGGGGTTTTGGGGTGGAGGGCTTTAGGGGTTCAGGGTTGTGTAGGCTCCCGCGATTCGGAGGCTGTAGGGTTTCAGGGGTTGGGGGGTTTCGGGGTTTAGGGCTCGGGGTGGTTTAGAGGGAGAGGCTGTCAGGGTAAATGGTTGAGGGTTTAGGGGGTGCATTTTGTGTAGAACCGGGTTAAGTAGGGTACTTTTCAATTGGTTGCGAGCATCTTTGGGGCAACTATGACCCCACCTAGACTAATGAACCTTCAAGCTAACCCCTAACCCTTAAACCCTAAGCCCTACACCCTAAACCCTAGACCTAGACCCTCAGAACCTAGACGCCGGGTTTAGGGTCTGGGGCTTAAGGTTCTAAAGCTCCAAACCCCAAACCCACAACACGCCTAGTCTCAATCCTTCCATGGGCTCCCTGGCAGATGGCCCCAACCCCAAACAAGTATAGGGCCTTGGGAGGTTTTTTATAGTAGAATTACACAGGGGCCCTATAAGGGTAATTATTCCGACTCCTACATTACCAATGGGGGGAGCAACCCTCTGGATCGTGCGTAAGGGTGAACGGGTGAGTGAGTATACTGTGCTATAGCTATGGTGTTTGCTTTGGGATCTTTATATTTTCCCATGTTGTGTTGAACAGAATCATATTCAGGAGTACCCTGAACACTAAACCCTAAACCCTAAACCCTGAACCCGAAACCCGAAACCCGAAACCCGAAACCCTAAACCCTAAACCCTAAACCGCGACAGGTCAAGGTGATGCGCGTGGGGAACCTCACCTGGCGGAAAGGTGCGGCGATGGGCAATCCAACACGCCTGCCATGAGGGCCGTCGGGTCCGGCTGCCATCTAGGGCTCCCCCCCATTGGTAGCCCCCCAAAGAGTAGGACCCTCTTAGAATAAGAGCCGCAAGAAGGTAATCTAGGGGTTGGAATAATTACTAGCAGTATTCCCTTACAGGGTCCCTTTGTAATTCTACGATAATGACCTCCCAAGACTATTCAGGCCCCTGTGGTATGCGACAACTCTTGGGGTGAGGTTGAGGGCTCGTAGGATGTCCAGGGCTTCCAGGGCTATTATCGGCTTTGTCGGGACAGAAACCGGGTTGGTTTAGGGTTTAGGGTTTAGGGTTTAGGGTTGATTTCTGTTCACTGTTCCTCACTTTCTCGGCCCAGTGTGCTGACTCTGCTGCCTTTCACATTGCGGGGGTGCATTCGGTTCTGAAGCTCACACAAGGGTTTCCCAAAAGAGGGGTGCCCTTTTTTGGGGGGTCCCCTTGTAATGATTTATCAATTTTTTGTCTTTTCATAGTCTCTTTCAAACTGAAGGGATTCTATTCTGTTTGGGGGTATAGAAGGGCTACCCTAAACCCTAAACCCTAAACCCTAAACCCTAAACCCTAAACCCGAAACCCGAAACCCGAAACCCGAAACCCGAAACTCTAAACCCTAAACCCTAAACCCTAAACCCTAAACCCTAAACCCTAAACCCTAAACCCTAAACCCTAAACCCTAAACCCTAAACCTAAAACCTAAACCCTAAACCCTAAACCCTAAACCCTAAACCCTAAACCCTAAACCCTAAACCCTAAACCCTAAACCCTAAACCCTAAACCCTAAACCCTACATGTCCCAGATGCACGACAGCAGGTGGCTGGGGGGGGGAATCCTGAAATACAAAAAAGTTTTGTATGTTGGGCTTTGGGATGTTCCCCCTGATACCAACAGTCCTTAATAGGGCCCATTAAGCACTGTTACTAGAAGCGGGGAACATCCCCCCCAATTTTCAACGTTAGAGCATGTGGGCCCATGAGGCTTTGGTGTGCAGGGTGTTTGAAGGAGCCCCTGATTCGAATGGGAAGAGCTCTCCTCAAACCCTCAAAAAGTCAACACCGAAAAGTCGCAAATTCCCTGAAGCCCTGGAAGCCCTCAAGCCGTAAAAGCCTCAAAAGCCCCAAAAAACCAGCCCCCGCACCCCCCTAAGAAAGCCTCAAAGAACAACAAAAACCCTAAACCCATGCGGTCTATTGGGCGCATGGTTCTGGCTCCACCTGCGCACACCACAGCGGGCGCTGTCCCGCGCAAGTCCGTGGTCGAGTTGATGTCTAGAGTCTAAATGTCTCCTACCCAAAAAGCCATGCGTGGTGCCAAAGAACAGATGCAGGGTTTAGGGTCTAGGGTTTAGGGTTTAGGGTTTAGGGTTTAGGGTTTAGGGTTTAGGGTGTCATTCTATTCTCAACCCCTACATCCCAAGCCGTTTTGCACAAGACTACTCGTTGGCAGTCGGTCTGACAGGTTCAGTTTTGGTTGCAAACTCTGAACTTCAAATTTAGACCCCAAGCCCAGATGCTTTGGCAGGGCCTTTTGGGTAAGCCCTATGAACCCACCCGGATCAACTCTAAACCCCATACCCTACACCCTATCCCCTACAAGCCCTCGTTTTGGGGGCAGGGATGACTGGGAGTCTTTTGCAAGAAGTTCGCCGCAAAGAATGGGCACATGCACTCGGCAGCGTCCGAATCCTGCAGAAGAATTCGAGCTTCGTTTTTGACCTTTGCAAGGTGGGGCCCTGCGCATGGTCCCACCTAGGCCAAATAAGGCTTCCGTTATACAGTTATACGGTGGTAGTGCCTGCCACTCCATTTGAGGCAGTACAGTGCAGACGGCTTGGCATGATTACCCAGATTGTGCGGTCGTTCTGCTCTCGTGCGCAGTCTCGAGATGCCTTCTCAATCTTGATCTCTTGCCGCTTGCGGCCCCTTTCAAACCAACTAGGACCTTAGGATTCATCGTCAGAGTTCTGAACCTACTTAGTTGCAGGTTGCAGGTTGTAAACTTACGTATAGGATACTTAGGCAACCTACGAGACACGTGGTCCTGCGCCCTTACGGTGAGAATTTTGTGGATTGAGGTGAACTTGCACGACCATACAAGAGTCTTCGGGTTGCATAAGGACCTAAAAGTGTGGATCTAGCCACCCGAAGTTGCCTTCGCATCTTGCTTGATGTTTGGGTGGGGCCGAAGCAAGCGATGAACAGGCCTGGGCCGCGTGCCCCTAATCTCCAAACCTGATAAACACTCCATACTCGCGCCTGCTCGGCAGCAGGAAGAAAGGAGGGGGGTGGTCGTTCACTGTGCAGCCTTGGGCCTAAATAGCACACATCTCTTCATTGCGCAAGATGGAAGTCCCGGAACCTTGTGCTCTTTTGCGTTAGGGTATGTCTTTTTTGTTTGTTTTTTTTTCGTAAGGGTTCTTATGTTGAGGGAGGAGGACTCCGAAGAGACGTGGAACCCACGTGCAAAAGTTTAGGGTTGAGGGCTTCGGGAACCTTTGCTTTAAACCTTCCGCAGCCCCTTTACGAGTACTAGATGTGTCTTTCGAGCACTTGGGTTTCGTCCCCTTCTCACATCCTTTGAACAGCAAAGCGGGTTTTGAGTTTATGGCCCAGGGTTGAGCCTTTCAGCAAGGGGGGGGGGGCGGGTTATCTTAGGGTTTAACCCTAAACCCTAAACCCTAAACCCTAAACCAGGGCTTCGGGGACGCCGCGGTGGCTTTGGTTTTGGGGGGTTTTGCTTTGCCACGAGGCTGCGCCAACAAGATAAACCGCAACCCCCTGAACCCCTGAACACCTAAACCCCTAAACCTCGAACCCCTGAACCCCTGAACCCCTGAACCCCTAAACCCCTAAACCCCTAAACCCCTAAACACCTAAACCCCTAAACCCCTAACACCCTAACACCCTAACACCCTAAACGCACAATTTCAAGCAGGGGTGGGGAGGCTGCCACATGCTGCTGCGGACGCTGCTGGTGCTGGGACCCCTGGCTCATGGCACGTGGCGCGATGAGACGGACGACACTTGAACGGCACTAGGCCCCAAACCCTAGGTAAGCCCCAGTATCCTAAACCCTAAACCCTAAACCCCTCAACCCTAGACCCCGAAAGTTCTAGACCCCTAAACCCTCTCAACTTCAAACCCTCAACCCCTACACCCCTAAACCCCTCAACCCCTCAACCCCTCAACCCCTCAACCCCTCAACCCCTCAACCCCTAAACCCCCAAACCCCCAAACTAGGGTCGAGGGTTTCTGGTTAGGGTTTAGGGTTTCGCGTTTCGGGTTTCGGGTTTAGGGTAAGCCCTCAACCCCAAGACGCCCCAAACCAGGACGAGCTCCACCCGGCCCTGCAGCTGCCAGACTACGAGTGCCAGAGCGCTGGGGAGGAGATGCGCGACGTTGAGGAGGCAGGGTTTAGGGTTTAGGGTTTAGGGTTTAGGGTTTAGGGCTTAGGGTTTAGGGCTTAGGGCTTAGGGTTTAGGGTTTAGGGTTTAGGGTTTAGGGCTTAGGGTTTAGGGTTTAGGGCTTAGGGCTTAGGGAACGGGCTGTGGCAACGGGTCAGAGCATCCCTGGTGTGACTGCAAGCTCCAACGAAGCCTTCCCAAAATCCCCTTGCGTGCCCCAGCCCTGATGATCCCAGCTGTGACCCTAAACCCTAAACCCTAAACCCTAAACCCTAAACCCTAAACCCTAAACCCGAAACACTAAACCCTAAACCCTAAACCCTAAACCCTAAACCCTAAGCCCTAAACCCTACATTCTAAACCCTAAATACAAGCCTGAAGAGGTGAACATGAAGGTAGGCTGTCGGTGCTCCACTGCTACTCATGCAGACCTTAACGGGAGTTCAGGGCTTCGGGTTTAGGGTTTAGGGTTTAGGGTTTAGGGTTTAGGGCTTACCTCGGAAGGTTCATGGTAGCCACTGGGGTTATCAGTAGGTAGCCACTCTTCTCTAACGTGAGAACCTTGTTTGGGGTTCTTAGAACAAGCCAATAAAACTAGTCATAAGCCGTTAAGTAAAGAGTGCTAGAGGCCATCGTGCGCATGCTCGCCACGGCGGAACTCCAAGCTCAGAATCCCGCCCGGAAAGAGGTGTGGCAAGGCCACGCAACCAAGTTTGCCAAGATCTCGCCCACCCTGGAGCACGTTTGTCCCTTTGGCTTCTTCCTGGTAAGGCTGAGCCACTGGTCCTCCTGCCTGCTTGCGGCTTGGGACCACTCTTCATGCGACACCTTCCGCAGCGATCCCATCCGTATCACCAGGCTCGTCCTTGGTGCCTATGGCAGCCATTATGGGCTAAGGCCGCATGAGGAGCTCATCGTCTTCTGGAACACGCGCTGGAGCCGCCTCTTCGAGTACTGGGCCACCACGATGCAGAGGGTTCGAAACTGGCAGAAGCCGTTCCAGTCAACTTTCGACGCCAGCGACCGCCTTCGCATGAACTGCGATGAGTCGAGCGAGGTGCAGGTCTGAGGGCCGAAAAAGCCCTAATCCCTGAACCCTATAGACCGTCTAGACCCCACACCTTACTATCGGGCCCCAAACCCCAAACCCCAAACCCCAAACCCCAAACCCCAAACCCCAAACCCCAAACCCCAAACCCCAAACCCCAAACCCCAAACCCCAACCCCAAACCCCCAACCCCAAACCCCAAACCCCAAACCCCAAACCCCAAACTTCAAACCCCAAACCCCAAACCCCAAACCCCAAACCCCAAACCCCAAACCCCAAACCCCAAACCCCAAACCCCAAACCCCAAACCCCAAACCCCAAACCCCAAACCCTAAACCCTAAACCCTAAACCCTAAAATGTTAGAAGCCCAGCAACAGGATTTCGCCGACTTTTCCGAGACGGACAGAACTCCCGAGGTTGCTACTTGGACGGAACTCCGCCGCAGACTGGAAGCTGCCTATCACAAGGCCGACGAAACTTGGGTTTAGGGTTTAGGGTTTAGGGTTTAGGGTTTAGGGTTTAGGGTTTAGGGTTTAGGGTTTAGGGGGCTTTCTTCTGGCTGGCTGTTAGGATTTTAACCTTTTGGGTTGTTGTAGAAGCTACGATAGTAAGGAGCCTAAAAGTTTAAGCGTTTAGGATGGGTTCAGAAGTCAGCCCAGGAAAATTCCAGAAGGATCTCGATGCATCTGACGTTCTTCATGTGGCAGCACTCCAACGAATCGGAGTTTGCGGCCCACATCGCGGAGTGCCCCCTGGGTATGCTGGCCTTGTCCTTGCACCTGGGGAAGATCTGCAACGAGTTTTGAGGTTTTATGGGCCCGAAGCCCTATAGAACCCCTTAGAAACCACAGAAATTCACCCTCTATCGCCCCCATCATAGCACCCCCCAAACGAGGGTTTACGAAAATAAGGGACACCTAATATAGATCCCAAGCAGTAGGATTCCCTTGTAATAAGGGCCCCAATAAGGTACCTCTAATTTCGGAAACCCTCAAATCTACCCCCCAGGCACCGCTTGATCGTGTATCTGCGGTTCCTGTCGGAGCAGGTGCCGCTTGAGCTCAATCATGCGGTCCGCATTGCGCACGCAGCCGAAGACGCATTTCCAGATTTGCTGCTTGGCTGCTGCTCAGGAACTTCTGCAGCAAGAATCAAGCTGTGACTATGACGACGGTGATGATTATGGTTTTGATTGTGTATCTCTCTCTTTATACACACATATCTATATATATATATATATATATATATATATACATGCACATATATATATATATGCACATATGTATATGTGTGCGTGTGTATATGATGGTGTAGGGATTTTTGCTGTACGCGTACGGCAGAGACAAATCTCAAAACGACAACACCTCATTGGTCAACTGCTTGTATCGGTTCTCGACACGCTACGGTGTAGGGATTGTTGCCGCTCGAGCAGGACAAAGACATCCAGAACGACAATATCTCGTTGGCAAACCGCACGCAAAAAGCAACATGACCAAAAACACATCTTTTCACGGCTCTCAACACTTCTGGTGTAGTGTAGGGATTTTGGCTCACGTGGGGCAAAGAGATCCCAAACGACAATAACTCGTTGGCAAACTGCATGCAAAACACACCATGACGAAACATCGAAGCATACAGTCAGTGTTGTAAGCTGCTACAACTTCTGTCATGTTTTTCTGCACGCAGTTTTCCCAATACGCAGAATAGTTGCCCATTCCGCCTTTGGCGAGTCCAAGGGAAAAACAACCTACATGAACAAATGCTCGGAACGTTCGGATTGAACATCGAAGTTTAAACAAGTTCTTCAACTCTGATTTCAAATAAAATAGTTATTTAATGATAAGCACCAAACATGCTCTTGCTTTGAATTCTGAATATGAGATCTAAGCAAAAAGAGCCCCAACAATATCAGCCATTACACATCTATATATATATGTATACACATATATATATATATACATATATATATACATATATATATATATATACATATATATATATATATGTAGATACGCGTACATATCCCCATTCTGGTGACTCCAAGCGCTTGCTCCTCACCAGCAGCCAGAGGCTTCCGGCCCTCCTGGAAGCCGAGTGGCCGCTGCTGACCTTCCTGAGCATGGGCACCCAAATTGTGCAGTGGAGGTCGCGGGCTGGTACCTGGGAAAGAGAAACCCTGAAGGGTTGATTTAGGGGCGTTTTTTTGGGGTTTAGGGCCTAGGGTTGGGCATTTCAGGGTTCGGGGTTCGGGCTAGGACCTGGGGCTGGGGACTAGGAATGACTAGGATCTACGTAAAGGTTAGTTCGAGGTAGGCTTATCCTAAGTATTGACTAGTTCTAGTACTACGTGTTGCTATCACAACAGTCAGAGCAGGGCCCACCCAGGCAAAGGCCTAAACCCTCAACCCCAAACCCTAAACCGTAAACCCACGAACATGTTGGGTGTCCAGGCACGGACTCCTACCAGACGAAGCCCTTCACCCTTGACTTCTTCCCTGCAGAGCTTCTCACCTCCAGGGCGGAGCGGAACCTTGCAAAACAACCCTAAGCCCTAAACCCTAAACCCTAATGAACCCTAAAGTTGGGGGCCACATACCCTCTGTTACCCTCTACGACTATAATCCCGATGCAAGGTATATGGAACATAAACCCTAAACCCTAAACCCTAAACCCTAAACCCTAAACCCTAAACCCTAAACCCAAAACCCAAAACCCAAAACCCAAAAACCCAAAACCCTATACGACTATTGTGGACCCTACACCCTTTTAGCCCCCCTGGCTAAATCCTCTTTAGGGTTTCTTTGGTCCCCCCAAAAAGGAAGCAGCTCTCCGAGTTGGCCGCCAGCGGTGCTCAGCTGCTGGGCAACCTGAGGCAGAAGCTCCAGGCGTGGCCCAGTGCCGCGTACCAGAAGCTGCTGAAAGCGTTGCTGAGACATCTTGAGGCGGAAGCCGGGCAGGTTTAGGGGTTTGGGGTTTAGGGGTGTAGGGTTTACCGGTGTGAGGACGATTAGAGCTGGGATTCCCTGTAGCATACCCTTTGGGGTATGGGGATAGGGATGTTCCAACTTTGTGGAGTTTGCTGTCGGGTTCATAGGGTTAAGGGCCCTTCGGATAATCCCTTATTTATTCTCCTTCATTGGGCTCAGAGGCGGATCCTGCTCAGTTCCATGATCTTTTTTCAAGAGGTTTAAGAGGGGGCCTCCAGCTCAGGAAGTCCATCGCCCGGGCAGCCACCAGATCGTCTTCATGACGATGGTGTACGGCCGGCGCTACGCCAAGTACCTCAAGGGGTGGCTGCAAAGGGCCGCTGCTCTGGGACACCTGCCGCGGCTGCTAGTGTTCTGCGTGGATGAGCACGCCAAAGAAGAATGCGACAAGGCGCACCTTGAGCCAAGCTACTGCATCGCCGGCAAGCAGAAGACGGCGGCCAACAAGTTTCACATGATGGCCGCGATCATCAACTTGGGCTTCGACGTCCTCTATCTGGATTTCGACTTGGTACTCTTCAAGGATCCCCTACCCGAGATCCTGTCGCACTATGACAAGGCCGAGCTTCTCATGACCCGAGAGCCTTGGGCTGCCGTTCTAAGGGAACTTACGTCCAGACGTGCAGAAAAACTGGATGTGACAAAGATGGTCAAAGATGGTCGCTTAAGCTTTGTCGAAGAGCCCAGAGGCTCCGAACCCGAAAGATAACCTCAACAGCGTCCCAGGATTTTGGATCCGAGTGCCTCAACATTGGCGTGGTCTACGCGAAAGCCCACGCCGACACGGCAGAGTTCTTACAAGAGCTCATCGTGTGGCTCTGGAACCATCCCTACGAGTTTTGTCAGAAGGCCTTTGCCGGCATGATGGGCCAAGAGGACATCCAGTACAACGACCTGTTTGGAGACCCCGTGCGAGCAGTTCCTCGCTGGGGCTTCCTGGACTCACTGAACCTTTTCGTCACCAGCACTATCTACAACGGCGATGTGCAGGGGTGGACTGGAGAGATGGACAAGATCATCATCTTTCACTTCCTTGACAGCACGGGCGACGTGGCCCCCGAGTTTGCGCTGAAGGGCGGCTATGTGAACCTCTTTGACGGCTTCTACGACAACCCACGCCTGAATCATGGCAGCCCAGTAGTACCCTTTACCCTTTTTTTGGTTCTGGGTTCCCTTATATAAGCAACCTACCCCAAAAAAGGGTGCTCTTATTGCATTATGGTTACTAAGCTACCAAGGAATCTGTCTGACATTGAAACGCCCCTCTACGAGCAGGATGACCAGATTCGCGCCTCCCTCATGGACTCAAGGCAGGCTTTTCCGGCGCAGATTTGGCCGTGCCTCAACACCGACCCGTCCTCCCTCCCCCAGTGGAAGCTCCACCCCTCTTGAGCACCTTTTGTTGAAGCTTCCTTGCCTCACCCTAAAACCCCAAACCCACAAAACCCAAACGCACACATGCAAACGCCCCAAAACGACAACAGGAACCCTAAACCCTGAACGCTGAACCCTAGGCTTTCGGACCGCAGAGTTAGTTTGTTTGTTGCAGGGGGGGGGGGGTTCCCAGAATCAGGAAGAAGATACAGCGGAATGAGATACTGAGCCGATCAGAGCTGCGCCCGGTCGAGATATGAAAAGTTGCAGGCTGAGATACGACATAGGATTCTGGGTTCAGGGTTGAGGGTTTAGGGTTCAGGGTTCAGGGTTCAGGGTTGAGGGCTTCAAGTTCAGGGTTTAGTTTTTTCGGGTTCAGGGTCGTTCAGGGGTTTAGAGTTTTCAGGGTTGCTCTAAAATAGCGGTGAGTGTGTACATATGCACTTTACCCGACAAGTCCTACTCTGATAAGACCTGAGGGTTCGGTAGTCTGGGGTCAAGGGGGTTTAGGGTTTAGGGTTTAGGGTTTAGGGTTTAGGGTTTAGGGTTTAGGGTCTAGTGCTTAAGGTTCAGGAGTCAGCCCTTTTGCAGTACCCTGAAGGTCGACGAATCCCTGAAGCTTCTGATTTGCAGGCTCTCGGGTTCGCCCAAGGCCCAGCACCATAGGCCCCCCCCCCAAAAAAAAAAAGAAAGAGAACAAACAACCTAACTAAACCCGTTCGCCCTAAACCCAAAACCAAAATCCAGAAAAAAAAATCCCTAGACACCTTCAACTCCCCAAACCCCCTAAACTTCCTAAACCCCTAGACCCCAAAGCCCCTGAAGCCCCTGAAAATCCAAGACCCCAAAGTTCCCCCGACATCCACAGCAAAGCGTCCCGCTTCGGTGTGTGGTGGATCAGGATTCAGGGTTTTGGGTTCAGGGTTTGGGGTTTGGGGTTTGGGGTTGAGCGTTTAGGGTTTGGGGTTAGGGTTTGGGGTTGAGGGTTTAGGGTTTAGGGTTTGAGCATTTGGGGTTTGGGGTTTGGGGCTTCGCTTGGGTAATTTTGGGCTTGAGGGGCTCAAAACGGTTCTAGTCAGTGCTAAGCAGAGTTCCCCAACCCAAACCTACGTGCGCTCCCTCCCGGAAAGCCCTAGGATGGAGGGCGTTTAGGGTGTATGGGTTTAGGCATTCCGGAAACCCCGAAACCCTGGGATGGCAGGGTGTTTAGGGTTTCTGGCTTTAGGCATGCATCTATAGCAAAATACGAGCAGCGGCCCCTTCTAGGGGTCCCGTTATATTTCTTGAAAGCTTTGCTTGAAAGCTTTGCTTGGAGGTTCATGGTACTTTAGTCACCCGATTATAACTGTACTTATAGCCCAATTATCACCATATTAGGGTACTTGAGTGGCTTATATTTGTTTGGGTTACAACTACACATAGCTTAGAATGGGTTACTAAGTACCCTGAACCTCTGAACCTCCAAGTAGGAGCACAAATTTTACAGGCCCAGGAAGGCACGAACATGCGCCCGCTAGCTCAAGGATCGCCAGAGCCACTAGGGCCAGGCAGGACAGAGCAAGAGCCCCCCCCCCCCCCCCCCCCCCCCCCTCCCAAAAACCCTAAACTCCAAACCCCAAAACCCCCCAAAACCTAGACCCTAAGCGCTAAACCCCAAACACTAGCCCCTAAAGCCCCCTCCCCTTCAAGCACCCCAAAACCTACTGTTCCTCCAACTAACCGCAAGCCGCCATGCATCCCAACTCTCGCCGTATTTTGGACCAAGTTGTGAACCCTAAGCCCCCACCCCCAAACTCCAAGCCCTCATCCCAAGCTCCAAACCCGGAACCCTGTTCCGGTAAACCCTAAACCCTAAACCCTCAACCCTCAACCCTCAACCCTCAACCCTCAACCCTCAAACCTCAACCCTCAACCCTCAACCCTAAACCCTAAACCCTAAACCCTGAACCCTAAATAGTTTCCTTTGGAGAGCTGTGGGGGGAGGGGGGGGCGGTCGCCATGGCCTCTGCTGACTGGAAGGTCCTGGCAGAGCCTTGGATCCCTACCTGGTACCCTGGTTTTTGTGGCGTTGTCATTTAGGGGTTTAGGGTTTAGGGTTTGGGGTTTAGGGTGCGTTTTCATTCTAAGCCCCTAGCCCTGGACCCTCAACCCTGAACCCACAGGGCCCCGTTTCAGGCCTTCGGGTCCCTTAAAACCCCGCGAAGCTGAAACAGGTATTCTTTTCTTTGGGCTACCAAGTGGTACCCTTTACCTTCATTTTTTGGGTTATGGTTCCCTCATAAAATAACCAACCCCAAAAAAGGGTGCCCTGATTATAATCTGGTTGCTGGGCTACTAAGTTAGAGTCCTAAACCCTAAACCCTAAACCCTAAACCCTAAACCCTAAACCCTAAACCCTAAACCCTAAACCCTAAACCCCAAACCCTAAACCCTAAACCCTAAACCCTAAACCCTAAACCCTAAACCCTAAGTTAGAGTCATTTTTACGGCGGCTCCTCTTGGGTGCACCGAGGATCTCGTGGGGCACGTCCTTGACCAGGGTGGGCAGGCTGGGGATGGAAGGGGGAGGTTTAGGGTTTAGGATGGTTTAGGGTTTAGGGTTTAGGGTTTAGGGTTTAGGGTTTTTTTGGGTGGAGGGTGTGGACCGAGGGCTTTGGATTTCAGCTTAGGGGGGGCCGCATACCTGGGCCTGGAGCTGTGCGTAATGGGGGGCTCTTAGTAGTTCGCACAGGGTTTTGGGGGCATTCTGGTATACAAATGGACCATAAGTTGGGATTACTACTAGTGATTTTTTCCCGAGCCCTACATAATTCATCCATGGGCCTGGAGTGGACTGATTGAAGGTCGAAGGCAAGGTTTGGACTTCTGGTACCGCCAAGAACTTGGGGGCATTTTGGGCACGTGAGGTTTCAGGGTGTCATTGCTTCCCGCGCTCTCACAAGCAGGTCTCCTCTGAAAAGTTCCAGGGCTTCTACTCCAAGCACCCTGCGTACAAGGCTGTCATCAAGAACATGAGGACAGCTCTGACACAGAGAAGTGAGAAGGGCAAGGTCGTCCTTATTTGGGTCTTATTTGGTACTTAGTTGGGATTGCTAGGTAGAGGTCCTCCCTTGTCCGCAAGCTAGCGGGCAAGGCATGTGACCTCAAAGGGAGAGTTGCCGGATGACCTTCCTAGTAATCCAGAAAGCACATCCTCTACTATAGAGTCCTGAACGTGGACCTATTAGATTTTGGGGTTTAGGGTTTAGGGTTCCAGAAGCGATCTGCATCGAGGACGTTCTGCGAACAGCACGCGGACGTCTTCGCAATCTCTGACAACAAGCCTCATTGGCTTCTGACAGTGAAGCTGCCCACCGAAGCAGACGCTTCTTCTGAAAGCCTGACAGTTTATGGGATCCTGCTATGCTACCCCTTTTTGCCCCTCCCCGACCCCTGCCCCTAAAAGCGCACAAGTAATTCAGGGTTCGGACCCTATTCTAGGGGCACTAGAAACAACAGTGCAGCAAATTCCCAAACAAACAAAGAAGAGAGGGCGCCTTTTTGGGGCTGCCCTGAAATACTCAGTCTTTATCATAGGTGCACACCCCTACACCCTACATCCTAAACCCTAGGCCCTAAACCCTAAACCCTAAACCCTAAACCCTAAACCCTAAACCCTAAACCCTAAACCCTAAGCCCTAAGCCCTAAGCCCTAAGCCCTAAGCCCTAAGCCCTAAGCCCTAAGCCCTAAGCCCTAAGGCCTAAGGCCTAAGCCCTAAGCCCTAAGCCCTAAGCCCTAAGCCCTAAGCCCTAAGCCCTAAGCCCTAAGCCCTAAGCCCTAATCCCTAATCCCTAAACCCTTGTCCCTAAACCCTAAACCCTAAACCCTAAACCCCAAGCCCTAAACCCTAGACCCTAAACCCTAAACCCTAAATCTCAAGCCCCAAACCCTAGGAAGTCGCAAAGCAGCTTGCATCCCACGTTGTGCAGCTGGGCGGGGCTGCGGCCCTTGCCGACCTTGAGGTGCCTCTAGGGGTGACGGTTTGGGGTTTGTGGTTTAGTTTGGGGTTTAGGGTTTAGGGTTTAGGGTTTAGGGTTTAGGGTTTAGGGTTTAGGGTTTAGGGTTTAGGGTTTAGGGTTGAGGGTTTAGGGTTTAGGGTTTAGGGTTTAGGGTTTAGGGTTTAGGGTTTAGGGTTTAGGGTTTAGGGTTTAGGGTCTAGGGTCTAGGGTCTAGGGTTCAGGGTTCAGGGTTCAGGGTTCAGGGTTCAGGGTTGGGGTTGGTATAGCTAGAATTCCAGAGAGTTCAGGGCAGGGCTTGGGGATTGAGGTTTGGGGAGCACCGACTTGCCAAGAGCCCAAAGCCTCGCCACAAACCCTAAACTGCCCTCCCAACTCCGCCCCCGCCCTCCAGTGGCATTCTTGGTTCCTCTTGCCTCAAGATTTCGCATCCAAGAGAGGATTTACCTCCCAAGCGGGGCTGTTCGGTAAGCGGGGTTCAGGGTTTACAGGGTTTACGGGGGTTTAGGGTTCTTAGAAGGTACCGCATGCGGTGTTCCTGCAATTCTGGTGGAGTGGAGGTTTGGAAGCAACGCAACCCAGCGATGGCCAAGACCGTTCACAAAGGAGGAAGCCGCCCGACGGTCGGGTTTTGAAGGAATGGGGTTTAGGGTTTAGGGTTTAGGGTTTAGGGTTTAGGGTTTAGGGTTTAGGGTTTAGGGTTTAGGGTTTAGGGTTTAGGGTTCAGGGTTCAGGGTTCAGGGTTTAGGGTTTAGGGTTTAGGGTTTATGGTTTGGAGTCAGATTGGGGTTTACGCGAATAATGGACCCCTCATATTATAGACTCCCAAATAATAGGATTCCCTGTTGACAAGGACCCCAAAATGGTCCCCCTAGTTCCGGACACCCCCCCAAAATTGAAACCCTAAAGCCCCATAGGATCAAGTCTCAACCCTAAGCCCTAAACCCTCAATCCCCCCAAGCCCTGAACCCTAATCCCTTCATGGAGGTTCATGGGTACTTCTAACCCCAATTAGAACTCTACTTATAAGCCCCCAAGTAGGTCATAAGCACAGTTCGAATTGGGGTTATAAGTACCCATGAACCTCCAAGTCTCTCATGTGCTTGTTATGTTTTTGCCTGATGGGCTTAGGCGGTCTCAACGCCCACCTCACAGTTTGACCTGTTGCAGGGCGTAGGCTTTCGGGGGGGTTTGGGGTTTTGGGATTTTGGGGTTTAGGTTCGGGATTTTGAGGTTTGACGGCTTTGGGGGTTCGGGATTTGGTTTGCTTTTGGGGTTGTCCGGTTTTGTTGTTTAGGGGTTTATGGTTGGTTTATTTTGTTTGGGGTTGTAGGATTTAGGGTTTGGGCTTTAGTCATTGAATCGACAACTCCCCAAAATTGGATCCCCCTGCGAAAAAACTCCCAAAAAGTAAGCATTTGTCGGCATTATTTTGGGTAGGGGATTAGAATCCCATAAGTCCCTGGATTTTGTCTTGACGCAAGTTCAAGTAGAGCTTTCGCTGGAGCAAGGGTGCACAAGAAGGCAGAGAGAAATTTACACTCGAAGCCCTGATATACTAAACCCCAATCCCGAAACCTCTCTTGCGACAGCGCAGGACGATCGATGAAAGACTTCTTTGACACATGCGCCAAGAAGTTTTTCACCGTCGAGAGTACCTCCGGAATTGTGACGAAGGCTTGAGGTGTTAGGGCTGAGGGGGGTGTAGGGTTTAAGTCTGGAGCCTTTAAAATAAGGTTCCTCAACAAATGCAGCTACAAACCCGAAACCCCAGACCCTGAAGCACGTAGAATTTTGGTTTCGGAGGGTGGCAAGGTTGCACCCCGAGAGCCCAGCCATGTCTTTTTGTTCCTTCTTGGGGGTGTGGTTCGGCACAATTGAATCGATCTGCTGTTCCTGGTTTAGGGTTAAGGAGTTTATCTCTCTCAACCTGACAAGCAACCCTACACCATACACCCTAAACCCGAAATTGTTCGCGCGCTTGTTCCTGCCGTTCGTGCCTCCTAAGCCAGGTAACGGGGGAGCCCTGAAACCCGAAAACCCTAAACCCTAAACCCTAAAACCCTAAGCCCTAAACCCCAAACCCTGAACCCTAAACCGCCTAAACCCTAAAACCCTGTGGCAGGTCTCTTCAAAGGCCTCCAAGGCAGCCGCCGTCGTCTGTGATGATCGGGCATGCGCTGCAGCCAATCTTGCCTTGCCACTAGGACCTTGATTTTGGGTTTATTGGGGTTGAGGGTTTAGGGTTTAGGGTTGAGGCTTGAGGGTTTAGGGTTTAGGGGTTCTAGGATGTAGGGTATAGGGCTTTTGGGGTTACGGCTTGGGCTTGTGGGGTTTGGTTGGGGTTTAGGGCTAGGGTTCAGGGTTGTCAAAGGTGGAAATGGTTTAGCTTTTGTGTTGGGCTCTTTTTGGTATGATTCGAGTTCCGAGGCTCAGGGTCTTGATGCTACTCCTCTTTTCGGCTTTCGTCTTTGTGTTGCCAGGTTCTGAATTAAGTGGTTCAACGTCAGGTTTATCCGATGAGGTTTAAGGGTGCTGAGTTCGGGGCCAAAAAAGCCCTTTGGGGGCCTTGGGGGTCTTAGGGGGCGGTCTTTCTGCTTTCCCTTTCTGCAGCCGCTGCCCAGGTATATCCAGGTCAAGGGTGGCTCGGTCCTTGCATGCAACATCCATGAGTTTTACGCGCAGTTCCCACAGCACAAGCAGGCCATTGGCAAGCTGAAGAATTTTTGCGAGGAGCAGAGCGGGCTCCTTCTATACGAGAATGTGCCGCACCCTGGCAAGATCTCCCTTCCCAAGTATTGCTGCCCTTATCTTCTGAACGCCTGCTCGCACGAGTCGGGACACAACGGCTACTTGCACAGCCTCCCTCCCTCTGGTGCTGTCCACTGTGGACGAGGCAGTAAGTGCACGGCCGGGCACTGGGATCAAATCTTGCTTCAAGCCCGGCCTCCTGAGAATGGAACAGGAACCCGGCCTGCTCAAAAGAGTCCTATGCCTCGTCAAGAGGCCTTGGAACCCAGCGACGCGAGCGTCGCCGCAAGCTTGGCCATACACGTCCGCCGAAAGGGAGGCTCGATATCTGGTAGCACCATTTCTGAATATTATCAGGCGCACCCGTCTCACAAGTCGGCGATATCCCAGGCCGGTTTGCGGACTTTTTGTGACCGCTATGACGGCCTCTTCTTCTTCGATACCGGGGAGGGAAGTGGTACCTTGTCCTTAAGGTCCTATTGCTGCCACTTCCTGAGGGGCGAATGTGTGCACGGCAGCAGCCATGATGGGAAGTTGCACTCCATGCCCTCCGCTCCCTTCCTCTGCTCCTTTGGGCCCAACTGCAACAAGGGCCACTGGAGTCAGCTGGAGCAGCTGGCGGCGCAGCCCCCACCTGTGCCTTAGAGGGGTATCTGGATATGATTTTTTTTTGGTTTTTGGGTACTTTAATTCCTGAGAAACAGCTAAAATGTTAATTTTTGCTGGGGCTCCAAGTTCAGTATAGGTGTCCAGCTCGGGCAAGAAGTTGGCGCTGGCGGCGTTGGCAGTGGAGGACATCCGATGGACTCACGACGCCATCCGTACAAGCTTCCGGGGCGGCAGGCTGCTTATGGAGACGCTGGCCGAGTTGCTGCAGGGGAAACTGGGATCCTGTTAAGGTTTAGGGTTTAGGGTTTAGGGTTTAGGGTTTGGGGTTTTGGGGTAAAGGGCTAAGGTAAGGGGCTTGAATTAAGTTGCCATAATCGCAACAGGGTAGCGGATCATTTGCTACCATAGCCAACCCCTTTATGTGGTCATCTTTGCGAAGTTCCTTCGCACCCTAAACCGTAAACCCTAAACCCTAAACCCTAAACCCTCAACCCTCAACCCTCAAGCCTCAACCCTCAACCCTCAACCCTCGAACCCTAAACCTTAAACCCTAAACCCTAAACCCCCTCAAAGACCCAGGAAGTTGCAGGCCTCGGACCTCCCGATGCCGGAGGTGCTGGAGCTGCATGGCAGCTTCTACGCCATCGAAGGCAACCGCCGCCTCTGGGTCCTCAAGGAGTTTCAGCTACTGTTATTATTACTGTTTTTTTGTTAATATTATTATTAATACTATTCTTATTTTTATTGCTATTATTATTGTTATTATTATTATTATTATTATTATTGTTATTATTATTATTATTAGTATTGTTAATATTATTATTAATACTATTATTATTATTGCCATTATGATTATTTTTTTGTTATTATTATTATTATTGTTTAGTAGTATGACAATAGGAATAGCAATTATAGCACACCTCTGGGCCCTCAAGGAGTTTCAGCACATCACTGGGCAGGCCCTGACCATCGAGGTCAAGAGAAGGGCGGACGTCAAAGGATTCGCGCAGAGCTTCACCTCCAAGAACGGGGGGCAGTGTGTGGAGTTCTACATCAAGAGCCGAGAGAGGACCGCAGTGCGATCGGGGGTTTAGGGTTTAGGGTTTAGGGTTTAGGGTTTAGGGTTTAGGGTTTAGGGTTTAGGATACTCCTTTGTTCGCATTCAGGATCCTACGATGACAAAAAGTGGGATGTTCCTCAGTTCTGGGGTTTTTTGCAAGCCCTGAGCGAGAGGACTAGCCCACTCACCCGTTACAATTTTTCTGGCTCTGGGTTCCCTTATCAAGTAACCAACCCCAATAAAAGGGTGCCCTTATTCTAATATGGCTACTGGGCTACGAAGAGGAGCCTAAACCCGAAACTCGAAACTCGAAACCCTAAACCCTAAACCCTACACCCAAAACCCCAAAATGGGCTACCAAGAGGACCTATCCCAGCATGGGATTCGCTCTTGCCGTTATCTTCGGGCGGCCGCCCAGCGAGGCGGAGATGGCAGTCGGCCGCGAGCTAGCCAAGGTGCCAGCCGGGTGTTGTGGGGTTTAGGGTTTAAGGTTGAGACCCTAAACCCTAAACCCTAAACCCTAAGCCCTAAAACCCTAAACCCTCAACCCTAAACCCTAAACCCTAAACCCTAAGGGCTTAGGGTGCAGGGCAAAGCCTTGGGCTCCCTACCCTGAAACCCTGGAATTGCAACCCAGGTCTCTTCAGTATGGCCTTTTCTTGGGGGGATGCCGCAAACCCTCAACCCTAAACCCCCGAAGCCCTCCAAACCCTCCTTTTTTGAGGCCAAACCTGAAAAACCCTTAAGCCGTCTCGGTCCCATAAACCCCAAACCCCAAGCCGTGCACCCTAAAACGCTCTGAGCCCTGCAGCCCCTCTAAGCCCGCTCCCTAAAACCCTAAAGCCCCCTAAGCCCTCCAACCCTCAACCCTCAACCCTAAACCCCTAAACCCCTAAACCCCTAAACCCCTAAACCCTAAACCCCTAAACCCCTAAACCCCTAAACCCCTAAACCCCTAAACCCCTAAACCCCTAAACCCCTAAACCCCTAAACCCCTAACCCCCTAACCCCCTAAACCCCTAAACCCCTAAACCCCTAAACCCCTAAACCCCTAAACCCCTAAACCCCTAAACCCCTAAACCCCTAAACCCCTAAACCCCTAAACCCCTAAACCCTAAACCCTCTTTTGAGGCGCCGGGGAGCAAAGCCACCTGGGAGACCCTTGAGGCGTCGCTGGCTGGGTCCCTCGGAGCCCAGGCGAGGAAGAGGACCCTAAAGACTTATAAAGACTTATAAACCTATGAGGGTTTAGGGTTTAGGGTTTAGGGTTTAGGGTTGAGGGTTGAGGGTTGAGGGTTTAGGGGGCTTGTTGAGGGTTTTGAGCGGTTTGCTTAGGGTTTAGGGGGGTTTGTTTAGGGTTTAGGGGATTTGTTTAGGGTTTAGGGCTTGGTTCAGCAGTTGTCGGAGCCTACAGGGTTTGTGCGGTCGGGTTTGAAAGCCTTTAAGTCCTCAATAGTGTATCGTCGGCTGTCCGCATTGTGGTCTTTGTTGGTGGGGGTCAAGTGGTCTAGGGATTTGGGACGAAGGAAACACTTTACCTATCTTGATTTTTCAAGATAGAGCGGCAGAAGGAGTTTTTTTTTGGGTTTAGGGTCCAACGGCGAAATCGGTGGAATCGCGTTGATTTCCCCTTATTGAACTACGTGCCCTGGGATGCTCCCCTTTATACTAACAGTCCTCAATAGGGATTACAGCACCCCTCATTATAATCCCGATTAAGGTCTGTTCGTATAAGGGGGAACATCCCAAGCAATCGCACTAATTCCCTTAACGAACTACCCCCCCCCCAAATGTAAAGAGGGGCCATGTTTACGGCCGTGACCTCACAAGGAGCCACAACTTACAGAGAACCGACCACGCTTATGGGCTCCTCAGGGTGTTAGCTTAGGGTTTCGAGTTAAACCCTAAGTCCTAAGCCCTAAGCCCTAAGCCCTAAACCCTACACCCTAAACTCTAATCCCTAAAGTTTCTGACCTAATGCCTTACGCCCCCAGAGTCTATGAGCCCCTAAGCCCACCCTCAGAAAGCCCGCCCTTTACACCCCGAAAGACCCCTAAATCGAAGCAAACCTTTGGCACCCTAAACGCCTGAACCCTAAACACCCTAAACCAAAAACCCAAAAACCTAAACCCTACACCCTAAACCCTAAACCCTAGACCCCAAACCCTAGACCCTAAACCCTATAAGCCCTTAACTAACTCTATAAGCCCTAAGCCATAGTTGGGTAACATTTTACATTTTTAAGGGTACTTAAACCCAATAAGGAATATAACTTTAAATTTTTAATCTAATCCCAACAATGAACAAGAAGCCCCTGACATGGAGGCTGTCGGGCTGGAGCCGCAGCTTCGCGAACGGCCCTTTCTCTTCCGCCTGACTGCCGGCAGGGCCAGCCGGCTTTTGGTGGCCCCTAAACCCTCTTGTAAGGTTTAGGGTTTAGGGTTTAGGGTTTAGGGTTTAGGGTTTAGGGTTTAGGGTTTAGGGTTTAGGGTTTAGGGGTTTGGGGTTTGGGGTTTGGGGTTTGGGGTTTGGGGTTTGGGGTTTGGGGTTTGGGGTTTGGGGTTTGGGGTTTGGGGCCTTAGGGTTTGGGGTTTGGGGTTTAGGGTTTAAGGTTTAGGTTTCAGGGTTTCAGGGTTTCAGGGTTTAGGGTTTAGGGTTTAGGGTTTAGGGTTTAGGGTTTAGGGTTTAGGGTTTAGGGTTTAGGGTAGGGTTTAGGGTTTAGGGTTCAGGGTTTAGGGTTATCTACCCCCAATCCCCCCTAGCAAGGGGGATATATAGGCCTCTGCCTGGCATCTGCAAAAGTGGCAGGCTCGACTAGACCGGCAAGAGCCTCCAAAAAGTTTCAGGAAAGTTTAAGGGGGGGGGAGGGGGGCAACGGCCGGTTTTGCCACTTTGAACCTTGTGGAAGGTTGTTGGAAGCCCAAAAGCTCGATTTGGGCTCTCGCTGCCCTTCCGAGGCCTTCTGAGCCTAAACGTATGACTGGCGCTTGGCTGCCGTTGTGGAAGGCTTGTGTTTGGCCTTGGGGAGGCTTGCGAAGGAAACCAGGCATGCCGGGAAAGTTTCATGGGGGGGGGGCCTACGGCAGAATTTTGGAGAGGCTCTGAGAGAGCTGAGAGAGCAGAGGCATCTGGGCAGGGGGCATCTGGGAAGAAGCCATTGGAAGCCAAAAAGCTTGATTTTGGGCTTTCGATGGCTTTTGCCCATCTGAAACAAAAATCTTGTGGAATCTGCAGGGCCTGGAAAGGAAACCAGGCCTGCCCTGCAGTGTGGCCCAGGCCTCGAGGCGACGTGGACCTAAGGTCCAGAACCCTACGGCTCGCCTGCCGGCCTTCGCCTGCGGGTCCGCATGCCCCTGCCAATGGCCTGCTAACGACCGGCCCAGAGCTGGGGAGGGGGCCGGTCTTCAGTTGACTGTTTATCGATGAGGGCTTGGGGTTTAGGGCTTGAGAGATCTGAGTGTATTGTGGCTGGTGTTCTGTGCAGTTCAGGCATGCCCAGCTGGGGTTTCGGGTTTAGGGTCCGGGAAGCTTCCGGATTTCCCTGAGAACCGACGCGGCGATACGGTTTGGGGGTAGGATTAGCAAAGAAAAGCGTCCGAGGTGAGTTTGGCGGACAGCATGACAGCCTTCGGCGCCTTGGCCCCAAGCCCTAGATCCTGAGCCCAAAACCCGCATCAGCCCCCCAGAAGCCCTCACATTCCCTGAACTACTAGTGGAAACTCTCAACCCTGCAACCCGAAACCCTAAACTCTACTGTAGTTCTTTAAGCATGCTTCCGCCACTGTCAGGGTACAACCTTACGGGAGGTGTGTAGACTCCCGGGCTTAGGGCTTAGAGTTTCAGCATTTTTTTGCGGGGGGTTTGGGGCTTCAGGGGCTTCAAGGGTGTAGGCTTTTTTTTTGGGTTTCCGGGATCCAGGTTTAGGGTTTAGGGTTCAGCGGCTTTAGGGTTTGGGGATTCGGGGATTGAGGGGGTTTAGAGCTCAAGGGCTTCAGGGTTTGGGTTTGTGGGCGCCCATGGAGGAGTGCTCACAAGCGCGACTTCAAAGGGCCGGCCCACCACCGAGTACGCCGAAGGCGCCGTGTGGACGGAAGCGGCTGACGCTGGGGTGTGAATTTTAGCAGAAACTGCTGCCCTAAAGCCTAAAGCCTAATGCCTAAAGCCTAATGCCTAAAGCCTAATGCCTAAAACCTAAAGCCTAAACCCTAGACCCGAAACCCGAAACCCTAAACCCTAAACCCTAAACCCTAAACCCTAAACCCTAAACCCTAAACCCTAAACCCTAAACCCTAAACCCTAAAACCTTAACCCTAAACCCTGAACCCTAAACCTTCTTGCTTTGGGGATCCACCCTCCGACTCCCAGTGCTGAACTAAACCCTACTGTAAACCGTATGCTCCAAGCCCTTTGCCGCCGTCTCCTTGCTTAAAGCAGGTTTGTCCCAGGTGCCCTGAACCCGAAACCCGAAGCTCTTAGCCCTAAGCCTTAAATCCTAAACCCTAAATTCCCATCCCTAAACCCTAAACCCGGAATGTATGTAGCAGCTAAATTGGGACCCTTGGTTTCGGTTATAACATACAGAGCTTTACATTCAGGGCACCTAAAGACATAGGGGCCTTAAGGGAGGGGGGTGTCTAGGAAACCTTAAGAATGCTTAGGGAGCCGAAAGGAGTAGTGGGGAGCATTAAGGAACGCTGGGTTACATGCCTTAAACCGCAAACCCTAAACCCTACATCCTCAACCCTTTAGAGCTCAACAATAAAAGGGACCCATATTGTAGACTGCGCTGCACGGGCTCAACATCGGGTGCCTGTTTACTTTGGGTGATCTTCGGGGTCTCAACATACGGATGAGTGTGTCGTGGTAGTTTAACCTTAAGCAACAAGGTCCTAAGCCCCAGACCCCCACCACGTCCTTCACTCTTCGTTGCCACGTGAGCTTGATGTCTGAACCAGGGCAAGCTAACACAGATTGGACACCAACTTGAACGTTCATGGGGCGCAATGTGCCTTAAGAAAGTGTATTCAACAACACACTGAGGGCCCAGTGTACAGGCTTTGCTGCCTCATGGGATTCCTTCTGCTGATAGATGAACTATGGCGCTTACATGGTGCCGGTTTGGAAACTGCGCAACTTCAAAAACATCTCAGAAGCCTGCGTACGCAGTTCCGGCTTCCCCGCTGTTTTTCAGCAGGAAAGTGAGGGAACCGTGCCAGCACCTGTCGGGGTTGGCCATCGAAGTCTAAGGAAAGCCCGCGGATGATGTACCATGACACAGGCCATCTTGGAGTTTGATCCAAATCAGGGGCTTTTCGGAGGTTCCTTCTTAAGAGAGTATGTGGTGAGTCGGTCCCTTTGTTATATTAAATAATATTAGATGCTCGAAAAGGGACCCTAGTTTAGAGAACTGCCCAGATTCCTTCGGAATCTTTATTAACCCCTGTTGTGATTCACGACAACACGAGTGCCGGTTCTGAGTTATGATCTCGTCACTGGCCGATTTGGGGGGGAGTCTGATGGTTCGGGAACCGAAGCCTTAAACAGGGTTTAGGGTTTAGGGTTTAAGGGTTTAAGGGTTTAAGGGTTTAAGGGTTTAAGGGTTTAAGGGTTTAAGGGTTTAAGGGTTTAAGGGTTTAAGGGTTTATGGTTTAAGGGTTTAAGGGTTTAAGGGTTTAAGGGTTTAAGGGTTTAAGGGTTTAAGGGTTTAAGGGTTTAAGGGTTTAAGGGTTTAAGGGTTTAAGGGTTTAAGGGTTTAAGGGTTTAAGGGTTTAAGGGTTTAAGGGTTTAGGGTTTAGGGTTTTACCGACAGTTTGTTGCACCCTTAAAACCCTTCTGACGATGCCAGGGGTGCTGTTGTAGAAGACGGCGTGCGCTCTGCCTAGTAGTTTTCTGCTGGGGTTCTACCTTGGACCGCAAAGGTTCTTTACAGGGAATATAAGGGTCATTCTTAGGAGTATAATCGGAGTATATGAAGGGAACTTCTTAGGGGTACCCTTAGGGGTCCGAGTATGACTCCCTTGAACTTCTGGTTGCGGTCAGGGTGCTCCTGTGGCAGCCGAATCCCGAGCCCGAAGATCCCTAAGCCCCACGAAGCCAAGCTGCCCTGCCCTAAACCCTAAACCCTAAACCCTAAACCCTAAACCCTAAACCCTAAACCCTAAACCCTCAACCCTCAACCCTCAACCCTCCACCCTTAACCTTAGCAACCTCAGGAGTCGGCTTTTGCGGACCTCCATCTTGAAGCAATTCCTGTTCACGGTTCAGGGTTTAGACGTTGTTCTCGACATAGGAAGGGGTACCTTAGTGGGGTCCTTCTTACAAGGGATCCCATTAAGGGTCTATATTGGTTAAACCCTCATATGATGGGAATGTGAACCGTGTCGGAAGCACAGATTTTGGGGCGTCAGAGTGTTCCGGTGGTTTGGGGTTTAGGGTTTGGAAACCTTCAGCAGCAAGTCCTGAATTCCTAATCCGCAGAGTCGCCCTAAAGCCCAAATCCGAAGAGTCACCCTAAAGCCTAAACCCCAAACCCTAAACCCTAAACCCTAAACCCCAAACCCTAAACCCTAAACCCTAAACCCTCAACCCTAATCCCTGAGAGGCTTGGATGCCGCAGCGCGTCAGCAGGTTGAGGATCGATTGAGGGAGGCCATCCAGGCCCGAGATGGGTGTTGAGGGTTCATGAGGTCAATTCCTAAACCCTAAACCCTAAACCCTAAACCCTAAACCCTAAACCCTAAACCCTAAACCCTAAACACTAAACACTAAACACTAAACACTAAACACTAACACCCCAAACGCTAAAACTCTAAAACACTAAACCCCAAACCCTCTAAACCCCCCTTATGGGTTGAGTGGCTTGGGAGCTTCGAGGGGCTTCTGGGTCTTGGATGTGTGTTCTGTACGCTTTTCTGACATATAAGGCAGGTGTCGGGTTCGGGGTTTAGGTTTTAGGGTTCAGCTTGGGTTTTGGGAATATGTTTTTTTTCCTCTAAGGGGCTCGTATCTAGGATGTTTCGGACGCTTTCAGGGGTAAACTGTGATCTGTGGGCTGTGCTGAATTTCTGAATGGTATGAGATTTCTTCCTGATAAACAGGGGGTCCCCAAAATGGCACTCTTACATCATTTTGAACAACCCCCCCCCCCCCCAGCCCCCCCATCTAAAAACAAAGCTCCCACAGGACCTGAGCTTTCTAAACCTCTAAACCCTAAACCCTAGGCCCTAAACCCTAAACCCTAAACCCTAAACCCTAAACCCTAAACCCTAAACCCTAAACCCTAAACCCTAAACCCTAAACCCTAAACCCTGAACCCTGAACCCTGAACCCTGAACCCTGAACCCTGAACCCTGAACCCTAAACCCTAAACCCTAAACCCTAAACCCTAAACCGCAGGCGCGCGAGGGTTACGCCCCTTTGTCGGAGCTCGAGACAGCGGATGTATCACAGGACCGGGGGCGAGCATTCGACACTGGCAGCTCTCCGTCACTTCACCCTAAACCCTAAGCTTCAGGGCTCAGGGCTCAGGGTTTAGGGTTTAGGGCTTAGGGTTTCGGATGAATTTAGGGTTTAGTGCAAGTCAACCTCCACCCGAACTCTTTGGCGTGCCTGGACCATGCCAAGAATTCTCGGTTTGTTTTTTGCTCGTCACGTGTAATGTGCCTTGACAGTTGGGGTGTGGAGGGTTTAGGGTATCGGGACCAGCAATCCACAGGCTCCAACAACCCTTAGGTCTTTCCAGTTAAGGTCAGTGGTGACTTATGGTTTGGGGTCCAGGGTTCTGGGTTTAGAGTTTGGAACCTTTGGGCAAAACACTGAAGCCAGATGTGAATCTCACTGCGATTTAAAAAATTATGTGTGGGGTTTGCAACCTCTTGGGGTTTCGCGGCTTCGATAAAGAGGTTGCTGAGAGTTTGGAGTCAGAGAGTTCGTCGCTTAAGACCCGAAATTCTAAAACCCCTAGACCCTAGACCCTAAACCCTAAACCCTACACCCTAAACCCTAAACCCGCCCGCCACCCCTCTCACCTCTGTTGGGGTAGGCGGGCGCAGTCGAGCGCTCAGCGAGACCACGGCAGGCTCTGCTAGGCTGCAGAGCCTGCCAGGCACACTCCTGAGAGGGTCGCCTAGCTAGAGTCGCCTAGCTCGTCTCAGATATATATAATAGTGCCCTAAACCCCAGGGGGGGGTCCTTCCCCTTTAACAAGTCCCGCCTTTCCAGGCAGCCCCTTCTGCGTCTGGGGGCGTCCGGGGGCGTCCGGGGCGTCCCGGGCTGTCCGGCGGCATCCAAAGGTGTCCGGGGCGTCCGGGGCTGTCCGGCGCCGTCCGGGGCTGTCCGGGGGAGTGTTGGGCGCTTACAGGAAGCCCTGAAAGGTCCGACCCCTCGCTTTGACCGCTCTAGTGAGTTTCGTTCTCTGGCCAAGTGAGCTTCGGCGTGGGGGGAGATTCTTGCAAAACCCGGAGACTCTTCACGCCCTGGAATTTTCTGTGAGAGGGCCCTTCGGCCCACACCGTCCCACACCGTCCCCTGCGCAAAACCTGAGGGGGGGGTCCTGTGCCTTCTGCCCCCAAGTGACCTCCGAAGTCAAGGGACACCCTTGGCACCCCCTCAAAGTCGCAAATGTCCCAGGCAGTGCTCGACATGCTGCCTTCTGGCCCCAGATGACCTCCGACTTCCTCGTGTCCCAATCAGCCACTGTTCCCAAGTGACCCCCCCAAGAAATCGCCAACAGCTCGCCTCAAGTTCTGTGAAATTTGAATGGCTGGCTTGGCCTTGGCTGGCTCCGGTTTGGTTTCGTGATGAGTATTGTTTGGGTGGCCTCGGGGTGGGCATGTCTTCATACTATTGCGTTCAGCTGACCAATGCTACACCCTAAACCCTAAACCCTAAACCAGATGCCCCTGGGCCTCTGTGGCAGGAGACATTGCTGTCCTTGGTGGCGCAGTCGTCGGAGTTTCGCGTGGCATCGGTGCGGCTCGGTTCGTGCAGTTTAGGGTTTAGGGTTTAGGGTTAAGGCTTTAGGGTTTAGGGTTTGGGGTTTAGGGTTTAGGGTTTGAGGTTTAGGGTTTAGGGTCGCGGTGTCAGAGCTTGCTGCATTTTCGGGCGTACGGTGGCAAAGTGCCTGGGACTCAAGGAAGGTTCGCATTGGAGGCAGGAACAATAGGGGCCTTAATCATTAGAACAGGGCTTTTGGGGGTTATTTTTGTATATTTGTATAGGAACCTTAAGGGAATACGATTAGTAATGACTCCGACTTCTACAGAAGGCTTCTTCAGGCGAACTTCACCCCGCCCCTCTGCAATTCCTAGAGACTCCAATACCCCTGCCCCTTACTTCAGGCATGTTCCTTAAACGATTATAAGGAACCCTCTTATGCTTTAAGGGAATATTCGCTAATTAAGGGGTATTGGAGTCTCAGGGTTCGATGACTCTGTACACTCTTTGGGCCCTCATGGAAGGTTCCTGGGTAGTTCAAGCATAACAGCCCTAAACCCTAAACCGGCACTAACCTGGGTCCTTGCACCACTCCCACTGCAAACCCTAACATACCCCAACAGAAGGACCCTGAACCGTAAGCCCCTAAACCCTCCAGGAAGTCCAGCTACCTCGTCTCCTTGGCTGATGGCCCCGAGCGCGATCGGGACCCCCAGAGGCAGCGTTGTGGCGTGTGGGGCCTTTAGGGTTTGGGGTTCACCCTAAACCCTAAACCCTAAAACCCTAAAACCCTAAAACCCTAAAACCCTAAAACCCTAAAACCCTAAAACCCTAAAACCCTAAACCCTAAACCCTAAAACCTGAACCCTAAACCCCAAAAAGCGGAGGGGCCTCCAGGGAGTGTTGCAGGTTTCTTTGATAGGCTTACAGGCCTCGATAGGGTTCATTCAGCACAAGTCACGGCCACTCCACCGCGCAACTTCTCCCTGCGGCTTGCTGTAAATGAGGGTCCAGGTCTTAGGGTTTAGGGTTTAGGGTTTAGGGTTTAGGGTTTAGGGTTTAGGGTTTAGGGTTTAGGGTTTGGGGTTTGGGGTTTAGGGTTCAGGGTTTGGAACCCTAATGAGACCGTGAGAGCAGCCGGGCCTCAAACATCGCAGGGGAGAGAGGGACATGGAAGCCAGAGCCTTGGGAATAAGAGCACATGGGGTTTAGGGTTTAGGGTTTAGGGTTTAGGGTTTAGGGTTTAGGGTTTAGGGTTTAGGGTTTAGGGTTTAGGGTTGCTCAGGGGAAATGTAGGGGCTCACTAGCTAGGGGCCACTTAGGTACATAGAGGCTACATAAGGCATGTGCAAAGGTTATATAATGTTCCTTACAGATCCTTGATCATAAGAGTTTGGGTGTTGAGCCGTATAAGGCTTGAGATTTTTGAGTTATGGTGGTTGAGGGTGTGCGAGCCCCCCCCCCCCCCCCCAAAGGGGTGTGAGTGGTCATAAGCCCACTGCAGGGTCGACATCTCGGATGGAAAAGACTCGGCATCTGGGCTACTACATGTAGTGGGGCTTCTCCCTTCCGGTCGGGCCGGATCTCTACGCTGTTGCACTTGTGGTCCCTTCTTGGCCACCCTGAATATGAGGGGGTTCAGGTTTTCGTGTTTAGGGCGCCATCTTGTAACCATGGACCCCAAAAGGGGGGGGCACATCCTGACCAGCTATGCATCGCACCCCTGCCGCGCATTTCATCGAACTTCCACAGAAGCCTCTAATAAGGCATAAGATCCAAGAACGGCCGACAAGCCCCGAAACCCTGTATGCCCTAAACCACAAACCCCTAAGCCATACAGACCCGACGACCCCTGTAAAACATATCAACCCTGGAAACCTTATAAACGCCATAAACCCTGTAAGCCCTCGGAACCCTTAGAAATTCTGCATAAAGCTATTAGGAATCCTGGGAGCCCTCTTGGAACCGCAGGAACCCTACAAAACCCCCAGGAGTCCCACAACGCCCAAGGAGTCCCCCGGCCCCACGGCCGAGCTGACGGAAGTGCTCCGCCAAGCCGGCGGCACGATGCCTCTGACCGAGCTCGAGTGGACGGAGGCCCCAACCAACAAAAAGAGGCCTTAAAGCCCCAAAACTTGGGGGATGCTCCCTTATTAGGAATTCTAGAACCCCCCTCGCTAGTTCTGATTAAGGACTGTTAGTGTAAGGGGGAACATCCCTACCTGAGACCCTACAGCCCTGAAAGCCCTGAAGCCCTAAATGCTTCCAACCCGAGAGCCCTAAAGCCCTGAAACCCAAGAACCCTAGAACCACAAAACACCAAAACATCCTAAATCCTTGTAGAAGGGGGCGTTAGGGCTTAGAAGGCCCGAAAATGATTTTGGGAAACATGGGGTTGGGGGACAGGGAGACTGAGGGGCCGACAGCCGAGCGTCACCGTCACCTCGCCCGCGCCTGAACCCCCATGCGGGCAGCCAAAAAAAGAATAGACATGTCGCGCTTTTCGGTCCTTTAATGTTTTCTCCGAATTGAGGCGGGAAGGCGGATGACGGGATTCTTACGGCAAGAAGCAGCGGGACCCCCCGGGTCGTCGTAAACTTTGGGTGCTGATCTACATCATGGAGCCATTTTGTGGTCTCCATTTCAGTGCTCCCTGTAGTTCAGGGAGCCAACAGGTCGAATAGGGTTCATACCTAATCAATGGGGTTTGGGGTTTAGGATTTAGGGTGTTGGGGTTTCGCGGTTTGGGTTTAGGGTGTAGCCCTAAACCCTAAACCCTAAACCCTAAACACCCTAAACACCCTAAACACCCTAAACACCCTAAACACCCTAAACACCCTAAACACCCTAAACACCCTAAACACCCTAAACACCCTAAACACCCTAAACCCCTAACCTCTAAACCCTAAACCCTAAGCCCTAAACCCTAAACCCTAAACCCTAAACCCTAAAGACCCCCCTTAGGGTATAGGGTTGAAGGGCTCTGAGAGGCGTGCATGGCGAGCTTCCCAAGCCTCCACGACATGACGTCCTTCTTGGCACTCCGGCGGCATGCTGAGCGAAGGGGACGTAAGACCCAGAGTAGGGCCCTTATTCCCCCTTTTGTTTGGGGTTTAGGGTTTAGGGTTTAGGGTTTAGGGTTTAGGGTTTAGGGTTTAGGGTTTAGGGTTTAGGGTTTAGGGTTTAGGGGTTCGGGTTTAGGGTTTTAGGGTTTAGGCATACGGGTTTAGGGTTTAGGGTTTAGTGTTTAGGCCTTCTTCCCTTTTCCCAGGGTTTGGGGTCCCTCTTAAGCCCCTTGAAGCCAAGAAGGGTGCCCATTTTTTGCTAGGTTAGTCTTCCGTCTAATTACGTGAGTGCTTTAGTGGCGTTTAGGGGCCGGGTGGAAGGGTTTAGGGTTGTAGGGTTTTGGGGTTTTAGGTTTTAGGGTTTGATGGTTGGAGGGTTTGAGGATTTAGGGTTTGAGGGTTTGAGGGTTTGAGAGTTTTAGGGTTTTTAGGGTTTGAGGGTTTTCGGGTTTTACGGTTTGATGGTTTTGCGGTTTAGGGTTTTAGTTTTACTTTCTTTCTTGGGTTTTAGGGTTTTGAGGTTTTAGGGTAAGTTGTAGGGTTTAGGATTTAGGGTTTGGGGTGTGAGTGGGTGTTGGGCTTTCGTTCGGACCGATGTTTTCCTGGAGACACCAGAGACCTGAGAGTGGTTCATCGACGCTCGACCTGCAAAAACTCTTCAAGAAGACTACTCTAACCTGTAAGTCCTAAGCCCTAAGCCCTAAGCCCTAAGCCCTAAGCCCTAAGCCCTAAGCCCTAAGCCCTAAGCCCTAAGCCCTAAGCCCTAAGCCCTAAGCCCTAAGCCCTAAGCCCTAAGCCCTAAGCCCTAAACCCTAAACCCTAAACCCTAAACCCTAAACCCTAAACCCTAAACTAAACCCCATGCTTCAGACCCTGAAACGCTGCGCCCTGCGCCCTCCAAGGAATCGCAGCCCGAGAGCTTCTCTTTGCGGTGGGAGGGCGCCCAGCGGGCCGCTCCACGGAGAGGAGTTTTTTTCTTGGGGTTTAGGGTTTAGGGTTTATGGTTCAGGGTTTAGGGTTTAGGGTTTAGGGTTCAGGGTTCAGGGTTCAGGGTTTAGGGTTTAGGGTTGTTTAGGGGTTTACTTCAGGATTCGGGCTTAGGGAGTAGGGTTTCGTTCAGGGGGCACAAAAAATGAACTAAACTCTCACACCTTGAAACCCCAGAGCCCTAATTCCGTTAAGGCCCAACGTGGAGGGGAGTTCTTTCTTGGGGTTTAGGGTTGAGGGTTTAAGGTTTAGGGTTTAGGGATTAGGGTTCAGGGTTTAGGGTTTAGGGTTTAGGGTTTAGGGTTTAGGGTTGTTTAGGGGTTTAATTAAGGGATTCGGGCTTAGGGTGCAGGGTTTCGTTCAGGGGGCACAAAAAATAGACTCTCACACCTTGAAACGAAAGAGCCCAAATTCCATTAAGGTCCAACACTCCGAAATCCCTACGACCCCCACACCCTCGAGACCCGCCCAAACAAAACTTGAAAGCCCTCCAAAGCTCCCTACGCCACAAAATCCTCGAAACCTAAAACCCCAAAGCCTTAATCCCCAGCACCCTAGAACCCTAGAGTCCTAAAACCCTAAAGCCCTAAACCCCTAACAATCCTGAAGCCCTAAAACCCAAAACCCTAAAACCCTAAAACCCTAAAGCCCTAAAACCCCAAAGACTTAGTCCCTAAAACGATGAAGCCCCACAAACCCTAAACCCCAAACCCCTAAACCCGAAAACCCTAAAACCTCCAAACCCTTGGGCCCTAAAGCCTCAATCCCTAAAGCCCCCAAACCCTACAACCCTAGAACCCTAAAGCCTCAATCCCTCAAACGATGAAAACCCTAAAGCCCTAAAACCCACAGCCCTAAACCCCAGCGAAATAGGGACCTCTAAGTAGGGCGCTCGCAAGTTGCTGTCTTGGGGGCTCCTCTCTTATAGGGGTTTCCGAAAAATAGGGATACCCTTGTTGGGGGTGCCTTTAAGGGGATTCGATTCTACTTGGGGTATAAAAGGGGTACCTCTGTTTTGGGAACTACCGTTCTGTTCAGGGGTTTGGGGTTTAGGATTCAGGGTCTTAGTTAGGGTTAGGCAGGGTTTAGTAAGGTCCTTTAGGGCTCAGCTTTTCTGAAACGCTATGAGCATCACGTTGTTTTTTCTTTAAGGGTTTAGGGTTGAGGGTTTAACTTGTTTAGAACTTCTGCTCCCAGCTCCGTCCGCTGCTGAGGGAAAGCCTCTCTCAGAGGGAACTCCGCAACACAAGCTATCTAAAGCAAACCGGCGTGTAGTATCCAAAATATAGCAACCTCCTTGGTGCGTTGAGGCATGAGGGCTCGTTCCCCAAGCACTTCTTGCATAAAATGCAGGACGTAGCAGCCCTAAACCCTGAACCCTAATCCCTAAACCCTAAACCCTAAACCCCAAACCCCAAACCCTAAACCCTAAACCCTCAACCCTCAACCCTAAACCCTAAACCCTAAAGGGGCTTTGAGGTCCAAGGCTTGAGCTTCAAAAGCTCGGCGAGGGTTTTCGCGCCCAAACTGCAAGCCCCAAGAAGCCTGAACACCCCCAAAGTAAGGTTTAGGGTTTAGGGTTTAGGGTTTAGGGTTTAGGGTTTAGGGTTTAGGGTTTAGGGTTTAGGGTTTAGGGTTTAGGGTTTAGGGTTTTAGGGTTTAGGGTTTAGGGTTTAGGGTTTCGGGTTTAGGGTTTCGGGTTTAGTGTTTAGGGTTTAGGTCCTCAAAGAACTTGAAAAAAGAAACCCCATCAATATCTGCCATTTGCTGAAAGAACGCCCCAATACCCTAACATAGAAATCCCTATATTGCCCTTCCAAGGAAGTTGTGTTTTTTCGGGGTGCTTCTTAAGTACTCCCAGTTTTCCTCGAGGGGCATGGGTTCCCTGTCGCTTATTCGCGCGCGCCCGAGGTCGTCACTGCTGTCGTTCCCTGTGAGGCCAGGTGGTTGCAATGGGGAGTGGGGGGGGGGAGGGGGTGATTTTCGTGAAATCCTAAACCCTAAACCCTCCTTTCCCTAGGCTCTGAGGAACATGGCAGAATTGAGAGCCCCCTACTTCCCTAAACGCACGTTCACGCAATGCACTTGAGCAGGGGACCCAATTTTGAACAAGTCCCTAAACCCTAGACCCTAAACCCAAAACCCTAAACCCTAAAACCGCAAACTCCCTAGGCCCTAAGCCCTTCTTTCTTCCCTGGCGCCCTAGGTCACTGATGATATGCCCCCCCCCCCCCCCACCTAGCCCTAGCCCAGGAGTTGCCACTGCCCCTTGACTGCTGGGATCCCCAAGGCGTGGAGCTTAGGGGCTTAGGGGCTTAGGGTTTAGGTTTGGGGGTTTGGGCTTTGGGGTTTAGGGTTTAGGGTTTAGGGTTTGGGGTTTAGGGTTTGGGGTTTAGGGTTTGGGGTTTAGGGTGTTTGCATCCGGAGTTCATGTTGGGAACTTGGGCGGCTTGGGGTTCACCGGGATTTATAGACTTCGTGAGGCTGAAGGGCTTCCGGGTCCTCTTCCCTCAGCCCTAAACCCGAAACGCGAAACCCGAAACCCTAAAGCCCTAAAGCCCTAAACCCTAAACCTAGCTGCTAGCTGTTGTTCTGGGATAAGTGGGGCTTAGTTTTGGCAGTTGTTTGCTGCTGCCTTGCTTGCAAAGTGTGGGCTGGGCCCTAAACCCTTACCTCGAAACCCTAAACCCTAAGCCCCAAAACCTAAACCCTAAACCCTGAACCCTAAACTAAACCCTTCTGACTCAGGCAACATGGCTTCTAGCTTTCGTGACCATGAGCCATGAGCTACTTTTTCTGCTTCAGCTTTTGCCTGGCCCATGGGTCAGATTATTCTTCGGGGAACCATTACAAGCTCAGGCTTTCAAAGTCCCATCTACGCTGCGACACAGCCTCTGCAATCGCTGGCGAAGCTGTTGTACCGGCGATTGAGCAAACTGCGGCAGCGCCACGCGCACGAGTTGCGGCCCTTCCACAGATCCGGGCTCAGTGCCCGAAGGCGCCAAGAACCGCTGCAGAAACTCCGTCCTATTGTGGCTTTCCGGACCTGTCGGGGGAGGCATCCGCCAAAATGGCTGGAGAGTCTGATCACACGCGTTCCAGCTCGTCCCCCCCCGCCTCGTCAGGGTCGAAGCTCTTTGTCAGTTTGCATGCGGCAATGGCTCAGGCAATTTGTTTGTTGCCTGATGATGTCTACCTTCTTCAAAGAAGCACAGGCAACTGTTGACACCAATGTCTTCAAGCCTCAAGAGTAGAACTCTTTCCTTGCGGAGCCCGAGCCCTGCACAATTCAACAAACCCTAAGCTTCAAAACCCTAATCCCTAAACCCGGGCCTAAACCTTAGACCTTAAACCCTGAACCCTAAGCCCTAAACCCCAAATCGTAAACCAACCCCCCCTCTCAGGTCTCCGTGGCGGCCACGCTGCTAGAGACGAGCTGGTTCGGCGCAGCCTTGATTTGCTCCACGGGCGCCGCCCTGGCCTGGAGTTTGTGTCCTTGTTGGTTTAGGGTTAAAGTTTATTTAGGGCTTAGGGGTTCAGCATCTCATGTTCTAGCTTTTGTGAGTCAAGCAGCTTTTCAAGCGGCGGGAAGTGCGTCCAAAGAATCCCACAACATCAAGGAAATATAAAGTTCACTCACAGGCTCCATACTCTAGGACCCTTAAGCACCCCCCTCGAGCTCTTTCGCTTTACCTGCAACGCTATCAGCTGAGCCCGAAGCCCTCACCCAGGTTTTCGAGGAAGAGGCCCCAAATACCCAAAGTTTCTGTGCTTGGCACCTGCGCCCTCTTGTCACCCCGCTCAAACTCTTGGGACTGCGTGCCTATTCCACTAACCGGCCTGCCTGTGCCCACCCGGCGTGCCTATGCAGCCTGCCTGTGCCCACTAACCGGCATGCTGCATGCCTATGGCCTATGCTCACTAACACCGGCGTGCCCATGCCCATGTGCCTATGCCCGCGTGCCTATGCCCAACATGGTGTTTAAGGCTTATCGGCAAGAAAGTGTTAAGGGTGGGTTTAGTCAGGGTTGAGGGTTTGATGGTTTCGGGTTCTCTTACAGGTTCTGAACACGAACTTGCGGAGTTAGGCCCTCTGTGTGCTCCCTTAAAGCGTCATGGGAGGATATGAGGTACCAAACTCTTTCACTTCTCCTTACCCCGACAGCCGCGATCTAACCAAACCCTAAACCCAAAACCCTAAACCCTAAACCCTAAGCCCTAAACCAAGATTGCGACCAAGGAGGACGCAGGGGAGTTTCACTGGAACCGGCTGTGGGCCTTAGTAACACAGCGATCCAAGCATCCCAACCCTCCCCTCCCCCCCCCAAAAAACAACAACAAATACAAACAGTTCCAAGGCAGGTTGGGGGAATTTATGGAAGATGTGCCCCAAGGATAACCTTTAGCCCTGAACCCGAGAAACCCGAAACTCTTAACCTTAAACCCGAAACCCTAGCATTCTGCCCTTAAACCCCGACGCACAAACGCGTACACACCGCCTTGTAATCCTTCCTCCCGAAACGTGGGAAGGAGGGTGCATCGAGCGGCTTAAAGGGTTCCCGGTCTTGGGGTTAAGAGTCTGGGTTTTTTTGCGGTTTAGGGTGTATAGGGGTTGGGATCATGCGACGTCATTGGGCGTCGCTTAAATAGCTAGAAGGGTCGGTAAAGTAGAGAGTACGACCAGAACCCTAAACCCGAAACCCTGAGCCCTAAGCCCTAAACTCTAAACCCTCAACTTTGAACCTCAAACCCTAAACCTAAAACTCTAAATAAAAAACAGGCATCTTGATGTTCGTGACGGTTGGACGCGTGCCGTCGTGGATCGTCTGCCAGAGCCTCGAGACTTTTTTTTTTTGCCGGGGGGGGGGGGGGGGAGGGACCTTATGCAGAGAGCCCTACACTCTACACCCTAAACCCTAAACCCTACACCCTAAACCCTAATCCCTAAACCCTAAACCCTAACCCCTAAACCCTAAACCTTAAACCCTAAACCTCAAACCCAAAACCTCTAAAGCCCTGAAGCCTAAACCCTAAACCCTAGGATGCCCAGTAGTGCCCTTGTTCCCTTTTTGGCGGGTTGAGGTTCCCTTATAGACCCCCTTCAGCAGAAAAGGGCACCCGTTTTAATGCAAGGATACTGGGCAACCTTGAAGAAACCCTAGATAGAACCCTCAAGCCCTGAACCCTCAAGCCCTGAGCCCTGAACCCTGAACCCTGAACCCTGAACCTTAAACCCTAAACCCCAAACCCTAAACCATCCTAAACCTAAACCCTAAACCCTAAACCCTAAACCCTAAACCCTAAACCCTAAACCCTAAACCCTAAACCATCCTAAACCTAAACCCTAAACCCTAAACCCTACCCTTCTCAACTCTGCCGCGTAAGGCAAGCTTGCTGTCTGGCGGGCTGCGGCCCTGCGGCCGACAGCGGGAGCCTGCCAGGCTTAGGGTTTAGGGTTTAGGGTTTAAGGGTTTAGGGTTTAAGGGTTTAGGGTTTAGGGTTTAAGGGTTTAGGGTTTAAGGGTTTAGGGTTTAGGGTTTAAGGGTTTAGGGTTTAAGGGTTTAGGGTTTAGGGTTTAAGGGTTTAGGGTTTAAGGGTTTAGGGTTTAGGGTTTAAGGGTTTAGGGTTTAAGGGTTTAGGGTTTAGGGTTTGGGGTTTGGGGGTTTGGGGTTTGGGGTTTGGGGTTTTGGTGTTTTGGGGTTTAGGGTTCAGGGTTCAGGGTTTAGGATTTAGGGTTTAGGGTTTAAGGTATACGGTTTAGGCTTCAGCGTTCCGGATTGATGTGGGGTTGCCGCTTTTCACTCAGGGTTTGGCGGGTATGGGTTGCCAAGGAATCCAGGCCAGTGGCTGTCAGCTTCCATGTGCACGCTGGCCCAAGCGTAGGCCCAGGCGTCACAGCGCCGATTTCAGATTTCAGCCAACTGAGCGCTGAAATTGTTCTGCAGGCGCGCCATGAAAAGTGCACTGCTCGCCGTGGCATCGCTCACAGCAGCCAGGGCGAAATCCGCCACCTCGGTGCCTTTGTCCGCAAGTTGGTTCGCGGGAGGCCCCCGGCTGCTGGTGGACGTGTCGCCAGCTTCCAATGGCGAACCGCTGCCAGCGCAGAGACTCCTGCTGGACACGGGATCCTCCACACTGGCCTTTTGCCAGAACAGCTTGCTCCAGGAGGCGGCCTATGAGGAGACGGGCTACGTGTCTTGCAACATGTACAACCCAGGCCAGGCTGTCCAGAACAGGGATTTCATGCCCCAATAACCGAACCTGAAATCTTCAACCCTCAACCTCAAACCCACTTACTCCCTCCCAAAAAAAAGGAGTACATAAGCCAACGGTTTACAAAGAACCCCGCCCCCAAACCCTGTTTGCCCCTAATTCGTTTTGACGGATAAAACCCCCATGAGGCGCTTGCGTACCTTTCAAGGATCCCAACTCAACAATTAGGGTTTAGGGTTTCTGGGGTTCAGGGGGTGTCTTCATGTTAGACCCAGGTGGCAACTTCACTGGGTACTGGGGGCCCTTCGTGGCCGGCGACGTGGCGGCCGGGAACCTCTCCATGCCCAACTCGTCCTATTCCGTCATGGCGGAGCAGGAGCAAAGATGTTGAGGGTTTAGGGTTTAGGGTTTACGGCTGGGGGGCGCGAATCCGCGCTCAGAAAGAGAAAAGTTCGAGTACGGAGTTTTAAAAGTGTAGAATTTCGAGCCCAACATCTTGAAGCCCTACGACATGGCCAGCTCCGCGCCGGCACCCCCGAATCGCCCTTCTGGCCCTTAGATTCCCTAAACCCTAACCCTAAACCCTAAACCCTAAACCCTAAACCCTAAACCCCAAACCCTAAACCCTAAACCCTAAACCCTAAACCCTAAACCCTAAACCCTAAACCCTAAACCCTAAACCCTAAACCCTAAACCCTAAACCCTAACCCCCAACCCCCAACCCCCTAAACCCTAAACCCCTAAACCCTAAACCCCCTAAACCCTAAACCCCCTAAACCCTAAACCCCCTCAACCCTAAACCCCCTCAACCCTAAACCCTAAACCCTACATCCCACCCTAGACCCCAGCAGGTTGGAATGCCGTGTGATGATGGGATCCAGGGAATCTTCGGGATCGCGTTCGCGCAGCTGGATGCCACCCGTTGTTCATCGCGAGGGGTTGGGGGTTTTGGGGTTTAAGGGTTAGGGTTTAGGGGTTAGGGTTTGGGGTCTAGGGGTTAGGGTTAATTAGGGTCTAGGCTTACGTAACCAAAAACATCACACGTCTTAATCGCAGTAGTGACAACAAAAGCAAGTTCCAAAGGTGAAGATCAGCACAACATTGTACAGTCAAATCCAACCCAGAGCCCTGGCTCCAGAAATGAGCACCCCACAGTAATGTCCCTGAACTACTCTAGCCTGACTTATACTTGGCAGCCCAGTGGTACCCTTTACACTTTTTTTGGGTTATGGGTTCCCTGAAAATTGGTTGCTGGGCTACCAAGTATAACGAGCCATGAATCCCTACACCTTTAAACAGTCACAGGGGCGCACGCCCTGTCAAGTACCTAATGCTCCCAAGGTTTAGGGTTAAGGGTTTGGGGTTTAGGGTTTAGGATTTAGGGTTTAGCCTAAAGTCTAAACCCTAAACCCTACCCGGCCCTACCCCCCCCCCCCCCCCCCCCCCTTGCAAGGCTGCCATTGCAGTGAGCGACTTTTCCAACCAGAGCAATGGGACATGCCCCCTATCGGCCAGCAAGCTGATGCCTCCGCCTTTACTTCACCAGCTCCAGGCATCTTGGGGTTTTAGGGTTTAGGGTTTGTAGTTCTTCTTCGTGCCGTGGGTTGGTAGGGAATGAAGGAGTGGGTTATGAGTAGAGTTGCAGTTATTGCCTCTCTTGCATTCCCTACTAAGCAGCAGTACCGTAGCTATGGTGTTTTGGGGGTTCGGGTGACATTTCCCCAGACCCCGAGCCTTCAATCTCATCTACTGCACCATGAGCGAGAAGCTTCCGAGAAGCTTCCGTGACGGGCTGTCACGCGCCACTAAGGCTTCGGGTGAGGTGGAAACTCTGCCGCACATGGCTTCGTTTGGGCTTCCGGTGCTAGAAGGTGTTGCCAAAGTGTTGCGAAGAGCTTCGGTGTCTACCCCACAACCGCCAACCCCGACTGAAGCCCTAAAACCCGCAACCCCAACCCATAAGCCCGAAACCCTAAACCTCGACCCTAGACCGCCAAACTCTAAAGCCCTCAGCCCTAAAGGCACCTAGGCTCCCTACTGAGGAGATGCTGGGCATCTACTGGTCTGGGCAGCTACTTGGCAGCCCTGTCAAAACAAGGTAGCCAACCCTAAACCCTAAGCCCTAAACCCGAACCCTAAACCCCAAACCCTAAACCCTAACCCCCGAGAAGGGTACCCTCATCATAGCATGGTTATCCGGCTGCCAAGGCTGGGAGAACAGCAAGGCAGGCTGTTCGTCGATGAGGGCACGGTCAACGAGCACCTTGGTGGACTCCAAGGATGTGAGATTTTATATATATATATATATATATATATATATTTTTTTTTTTATTTATTTGTATGTATATCTATATATATATGTATATATATATATATATTTATTTATTATTTTTTGTTTTTTTGGGGGGGGGGGGGGGGGGGGGGGGGAGTGGCCTCGACGCGTGGTACACAAAAGGTGGCACTCCGCCTACCCGTCGCGCGGTGTCGGGGGGGGGTTGCAAAGGGTTTGCAGGGTGTACGAGGTTTATGGGGTTTATAGGGTTTATAGGGTTTACAGGGTTTATAGGGTTGAGAGGGTTTGCGGTGTTTCGGGCTTGTCGGGCTTGGGGTTTTGGAGTTTGTGGTTGTCCCCTGCGCTTCAGAGGATGCTTGAGAGCTTGGGCCTACTCTGGGGGCCTTAATAATCAGAATAGGGTTTTGGAGGGTTATTAGAGTATAGTTGTACCGGGACCATAAGGGAATATGTATTGGTAATTTTCTTGCGACCCTCAGAACTAGGCACTACAAGGAGGAAGCCCTGCTGGGTCCTGCTGACTTGGGCGAGCTTGGCCGCTCGGGAGGACCTTGGGACTTTGTGTATTTTCCCTGATTGGTTGTGATGTTTCGCCCTGTAGGGATTATAGTACCCCCGACTATAAACATCCCAACGTATTGGGTTTAAGAGGATCACATTCGGAACATTTTTCAGAAGGTGTTAAGGGCCGTCCTAGGCTGGTACGACGTTGCCATTCAGCGGATCTCCGTGGGCGATGAGGACTTTGGCAACTTCTCGTGCACCGGAAATGCCACCGGCCAGTGCATCATGGACACTGGCACTCCCACGTTGGTCTTGCCGCAGGCGGTGTCTCAGCTGCAACCCTAAACCCTGAACCCTGAACCCTGAACCCTGAACCCTGAACCCTGAACCCTGAACCCTGAGCCTGAACCCTGAATCCCCCTAAACCCTAAACGAGCAAAGTGTCCTCCAGGCGCCCCTTGTGCCAGCTAAGACCTGCTTGAACTGCCCACAAAACCCGAAGCCCTGAAACCTGCTAAAGGGGCCTTAAGAATTGGAATAGGGTTTCCTAAACCCTAAACCCTAACCCCTAAACCCCCCCATGTTAAACCCTAAGCCAAGGTGGTGAATTCCTCCAGCCGTCTCCTTGAGCAGGGTGAGCCAGCCAACCTCACAATCTGGCTCCTCCGGTGGACTTCACATCAGGGGCTGTTTAGGGTTTAGGGTTTAGGGTTTAGGGATTAGTCAACCTTTGAACCTTCTTGGTTATACAGCATCCTGTTGCACATAAAAGGGTAACCTTTTTCTGAGCTAGTGTACTCAGCCCCTGAGTCGCACAGGGGCGTATCTAACTCGAGTAGGTTCCTTGAGGAGTTCATATGAAAGCAAAAAACAGGGCTCTGCAGTAATGATGGTGGGAATCCTTTATGCTCCTGTGCAAGGCAGCAATCTCGCGTTCCTTTTGGGGTGCCTTGTGGGGGCTGGCTTTTGCCTTGGCTAGCTTTTTTCTGCCTTCTACCTATGGAATTCTTGCCTGCTTATCTTTGCGCACTGTTTTTGTAGCTGCTTTCCTTGTCAAGGCTGCGAGGGGCTTCCGGAGACGTACCGGTGACCTTCGACTTAGCCACGCTCGGCAGCTGGGCGCCTGAAGTTATCCAAGCTAACCCTAAACCCAAAACCCTAAACCCTAAATTTTAAGCCCTAAATCCTAAGCCCTAAACCCTAAACCCTAAACCCTAAGCCCTAAACCCTAAACCCTAAACCCTAAACCCTAAACCCTAAACCCTAAACCCTAAACCCTAAACCCCTGCTTTGGGCACCTGCAGTTTGAGGGCTTCAGGTCTGTGAGCTCAATCGGGACTAGAACCTCCAAAAGAAAGTGCAAAATAGCTCCCCCAAGCAATTGACCGGTAAGATTATGCAGCGTAGATCTTTGTATCTATGTAGTTACAA